TTTTGTTAAATTTTTATTAAAAATTATTCTTTTGTCTTTTATTAAAATATAATTACTATTTATTTTTAATTAAACAAAAAAAAATATGTAAATATTTATTATAAATAATTTAAGACGTTTTTAACATTTTCACGCAAAAAAGAAATAAGCAATGGAATGCGCGCGTAACTTTAATTTTATTTTATTATTTATTTATATCTCTTTCAACGATCATTTTCTCGTTGAGTATGAGGGGAATTTTTGAGGAAAATTAGGAGATAAAAAACGAGAGTTTTTAATATTTGTATATTGCTTTGTTTAAAAATTATATATAAAGAATTTATTTAAAGAATTAACTAAAATATTTTTATTTAGGTAAATATATGGAAAGTTAATAATTAAAATAAAAAATAATTTTTTAAAATTTAATTCCCTCACCATATATTTGTGAAATCTTTTATTTAATTTTTATTTAATAAATATTTATTTATTTATGTAAAAATATCCATATTGGACATAAAAATATTTTTAAAGGAGTGTTTTTGAATTTTAATGTTTTTTCGTTCCATCATTTTTAATTTTATTAGTGGTTAATAACCAAAAAAATATTAATATGGGAAGGGAAATTTATTAAAAAATAAAAATATTTTTTTGAAAAAATAATTGTTTTTGTTTTAAAATTTCTTAAAAAATATTTTCTTTAAATGATTTATTTAATTTAATAAATACCTTAAATTATCAAAATTTAATTGTCAAACTGTAACCCAAAAATGGATTTGAAAATAAACTTGAGAATGTATTGACAAATATTTATAAAAACAAGTTTTTTAAGGAAAAAAAGGAAGAAAGATTAATTAATTTAAAAAGGAAAAAAAGTTAAAAATAGAATTAAAATATTAAATTGTATTTTGTAGATTTTAATTTAAATTAAAATTAAATTGAAGCTAATTTAGAAGAATTTAATTTTAATAAATAATTTTAATTCCATAAAAATTCTTTAATTTTTTTCAAATACAAAAGGTACACAAAATATAGGTAATATAGGTACTAATTGTTAAAAAATGATCAATCAAGTAGTAATCCAAGTTTTGATATCAATATATACTAGCAAACAAAAAAAGGTTTTTTTTTTCTTTTTTAAAAAAAAGGAAAATTAAAAAAAAAATAATTTTTTTGAAGTTAATTAAAAAATAAAAATTAATTTTTATTTTAAATTAAAATTTTCTTCAAAATAGCTTGTTTTATTAATTTTCTCCTATTTGGCCATAAAGTTAAAAAGCATTGGAAATAGTAATGGAAATAACTCAACAAAGTGCGCGTCTTATAAATAAAACAATACAAACAAATAAAATATTTATTTATTAAAAACTTTTTGTGGGTATAAAAGGAAAAAAAGAAAAATTGTCTGTAACGGGTTTTAGTACATTCACAAATGCCTGTATTAAATGAGTAAATTTATTTTATTGTTTAATATATGTATTATTAAATGAGAATAAATAAAAATTAATTATTTAAATTAATAAAATAAAGTTAATAACAGGTACGAAAATAAGGGCCTATACATGGACAAATTTTAAAGTATGGACAAATTTTAAATTTCCAAAAAGCATCAAGTTGCCAAAATGTAAATTTATTGATATTTAAAAAAAAAGATTTTCTAAATAATATGCATATAAATGCTTAAATTCGTAATTACCAGTTGAGACTTTTTAAATAGGCAAAATTAAAATAAATATTGTTTTTGTATTTTCTCCAACAAAATTGTTTCTGTACAAAGACTTTTTTAAATTAATAATTAAAAAACACTAAATAAATATTTCAAAAAAAAACCTTCAAAAACTTTTTTCATTTAATTTTTTTAAATACAAAAACGTGAGAAATAAAAATACGGGTTCCACTAATTAAATATACAAAATTATTTTTCTTTGTTTTATATTATTATGACTCATTTTAGGGAGTAAATATTTGAATTAAACAGTTGCATTTATTTAAATTTAAAAAATAATTTTGTTTTTTGTTTTAATTAATAAAAATAAATAAAGTTCGAAATTTTAAAATTAAAAAAGATAGACCATACAAAATTCTTTAATTAATTTTTTATTTAATTCTTCTTAAATATAAAAATTAATATTTGTGTTTTTTTACAGAAATATGTATGTACCTTTCAGGGTATCGGGAATTTTGTTTTTTTTTGTCGGAAGGATCACTGGTACTTAAATTAAAATGAAAAGGGAAAATTTATTTTATTTTTGGGGATTCTTTTTAAATTTTGTAAAAACGGTTAGTTTTTGGCAAAAATATCAAATTTTCGATTTTAAAACCGGTCGTGAACAACTCTAGTTTAAATAATATTAAATTAAAAATAATTTTTGTAAAATTAATTAATTAATTACTTATAAATTATTTTCTTTCAATTTATTTATTTATTCCAAAAATAAATTAAAAAAAATTTTTTTTCCTAAAAATATTGCAACAATTAACAAAAAAAGTAAATTGATACTTTTATTTTTTCTAAAATTCCGGCAAATTTTCTAATAAAAATATTTTTTCTCTTTTTTTCATTCACTTCCTAAACAATTGCGCATAAAAAATTGGCCGTGTATTGTTTTGGCCTTGGAAAATAAAATAGAGAAAAATAATTAACATCGTTGACATTGGCGGCTTTTAATTATGACTACTTGTATACAAAAACTGTGGATATATGCATATTTATTATTTTGAAAATAAAAATTTTCTTGTAAATATTAAAATTTAGAATGTTTACTGTATTTCCTGCCCCAAGACCTATTTTTCGACTGACCTAGAGAGGGACTATTTTAGTGGAAATACTTTATATATTTTTTGATTAAAATATTTTTTTGTCTTTAAATTAAAGTTTTTTGAGAATTATAAACCTAAAATGACCTTATCTTTAAATATTTTATTGAGTATTTTTTCCTTTTAAATAAATTTCAAAAATCTGATTAAAATTTAATTTCTATTTTTTGTTTTTTTAACAAAATAATTAAAAATAAAAACAAATAAAAACATTCAAAAAAATTTAAAAGCAATTTGGCCAATTTTTCTGTCCAGATGCCACCCACCCACCTACATTTATATGTTTTGGCGGCAGAAAGTGCTGTAATGACTTCTGAACTAGCTTCTCCCTCTCTAAAAAATTAACAGAGAAATTATTTTTAAAAAATTAATTGGCTTATTTTATTTTTTGACCACATTTTTCTTTTTTTTGATGATTGGCACTAAAATGAAGAGAAAACCTGTCTAGGCAAAAATAAATTGACTTATAGTAATTTAGTAGAAATTGTTTGTTTTCTTTAACTTTAAGCTAAAATAAATATTTTTCCTTTAAATATTTCCTTATTTTTCGATAAATCTTTTAGGGATTTAATCTTTAAAGAAAAAAGTATTCCTTCTAAAAAATATCTTCAATAAATTATTACCTCCTAATTATTCTAATTCTCTCTCTCCTTTCACGCTCAGTGTTCATAAATTTCAATTTTGCTTCATACCTGCCTATTTTTGGCCTAGTAACTCATACTTATACTTATTCCACTATATTTTCATTTTATGTAAAATATTTTTTAATATTATACAAATATATTTCGGTTATAAAATCTATTTGAAAACTTTTATTTAATTAAAGAATTGTCAGTGTCTGTTCGGTTTCCCTTTTTGTTTTCCTTCAACAATATAAACTTTTATTTTTTTATTTAAAAAAAAGTGTCATAAAAATGCCGAAAACCACAAAACAAAAAAGAATTATTTACAACAACTTTAACTAAATATATGTACAATACTATATGTATTTATACTCTCATAGCACCGCCTTCTTTTTTTGTTTTAACTCTCGAATGGTTTATTAAGCAATTTTTGTTTGGCAAATACTGTAGCCATTGAAAAGAAAACGGCTTTACTTACATTTTTTAAAAATAAAGTTTAAAATAAATTAAATTTATAATGTCAACCATTCCTGTAAATTACCTTATAATACGTTTTACTTCTCCTCAATAAAAATACCCAAATTTTTAATTAAAAATTCAAAATTTTAAACAAAACTTTATTTTGTCCTTCTGCTTATTTTCCTTTCTTGTATTGGTTGTTGTAAAATTTTTCCAAGTATGGATTATTGTGTTTGTTTTTAGTGTATATTTTTGATTAAAAAATTGTAAAAAATATTTATATTATCTAATATTCTCTAAAAACTTTTCTGGGAAGAAAAAAAAGATAACCACTACCACAACAACATTACTAAAAATAATTTTTTAACAGAAGAAAAAAACATTTAAATAAAATGTTTGTTAATGAATACTGAGAGCTATTCTGATTTTTATATCCATCCTAAAATATGTAAATATGCACATCTTTAGGAAAGAAAGAAAAGTTTGGAAATTTGGAAAAGCCATTTAAATAATTAAATTTTATTTAAAAGATGATTGAGATAACAAAGTATGTATCAGGGGTGGGGTTAGTCTCGTATCTTGTGTCTCGTATTCTATGGGACTAAGCCCAACCCTGGTATGTACGTACTTATGTATTTAATTTAATTAATAAACAAAAAATATAATCTTTGTTTGTAGTGTACAAGATATTAAAAGAAGATCAATCAAGTAAAAGTCTTTGAAATAAAATTAATATTTAATAAAAACCAAAAGTATTAAAATTTCTTTGTCTATTAAATTTGTATAAATGTAAAGAAAGAATGTTAATTCTGTGAAAAAGAAACACCTTAATTTTGATGTTCTCCCCTTTTCTGGGAAAAATTTTTATAGGCATTGAGCGACATTTCAAGCATTTTTCCTTTGATGTAAATAAGTACTCTACATATTAATTTACACGCGCCTATTCATTCAATGAAAGAAATTATTTTGCAAGGTTTAAGAAAAAGGGCGGAGTTTTTTATTTGGCATGATGACAACTTTTGATTTTTTTCTAAATAAATTCCCTCTTCATTTTTTAATTAAAAATTATTTTTTATTTAAAGATTTTTTTATTTAATTTTTTAATGTTATAATAAATTAATAATGACTACTGCTAATTCAAATAAATATACTAATTTTCGTATGGATCGTCTTTTACGTGATTCTCAAAGTGAAAATATTCTTCCACAACAACAACCACAAAATAATTGTAAATAAATTTAAAATATTTTTAACTAAAATATTTATTTAAAAAACCGTTAGGTTCCTCCCAAAATATTTTTAAAATTATGTTTTGTTTTGAAAAAATTTTCGGGGTTAACTATACAGTAAAATACATATTTATTTAATTTTCTAAAGTAATTTTTCCAAAAGTCCTCTCCACTGACATGAGTATTTTAAAATAAGATAAAGCAAGGATAATCTAATAGATAATTAAATAGAGAATAAATATTTATGTTTTTGGAATCTTGTTATTGGCGTTGAGGCAGAGACTAAGGCGTTAGGAAAAAATTTTGAAAAAGTTGGCAACTTTTTTTTAGGTTTTTGGCTATTTTCGTAAAAACGGATCGGGCTAAAAATAAACAGATTTTTTATAATATTTAGGACTTCCAATCTTTCGAATGAATGAAAAAATTTAATTTTTTTGATTTAAATTTAAAAATTTAATTATATTTACAGTTTGGCCATATACTCAAAATTTTTCTCCTATACAACAACAATCCTTTCCACTAAATTCACAACAACAATATTTAAATTCATTTCAATTTCCGTCACCACCTTTTTATAATTTATCTCCAAATTTTTCAACATTGTTTTCCCCTCCTCCATCTTCTTTAAATACAAATCCATTTTTAACAGCATTTTTAACATCCTTATTTCAAAAACAATTTATTCTTAATCAATTACAAAAACAACAAATAACTTCAATATTTCAACAAAATACACCTCCGGTAAATTTTAATTAAAAAAAGTTTATCTGAACAAAACCAAAATATTCTTTTTTTAAATTATCTCACTAAACATTTAATTCTAAATTGAGAGGAATACATATTAATTTAATTTTTAAAAAATTTAAAGTCAATTAATTCAACACCCGGAACCAGTAATAGTGAAAATAGTTGGAGAACAAATAACTCTTCAAATAATTTAACTTCATTCAAATATCCAAATAATATTTATCCTACAACAACAAAAATATCAAAAATTGTGGAAAAGGTAGCTGCTAAAGAAAAGGTAAAAATTAGAATTTTAATTAAATTAATTTTTTTAATTATAAAAAAGATATCATTAAATAAAAGAAAAAATGAAAATAAAGTATTAAAAGAAACACCAAAAAGAAGAAAAATAAATTTAATTAATAACAACAACAATAATTTACAAAAAGTACAGTGTAATGTATGTTTTAATTAAATTTAAATTGGGAGAAATAATGGAAAAGAAATTTTTTTAAAAATTATTCCCAACAAATCCCAAAATTTTTAAATAAAATATTTATTTTTAGGTTTGTGGTAAATCGTTTGGTAGGCCGTGGTTGTTGAATGGACATAAAAGAATTCATGGTTTGGCTGTACTTTAGCCGGTGGCCGGGCCGTCACAGAACCAAGAAATTGTTTACTTGATTTATTTTTTATTATATTTTGATGTGATTCGATTTTTATGTAAACTCGAAGAGCTGAGTCGGGTTTTCGAATCGGCCACCGGCTAAAGTTTATCCCATGATTTTATAAATATTTTATTTTAAATTAATTATTTTTAGATGGGGAAAAACCTTTTAAATGTGAAGAACCTGGCTGTTCTCGTTCCTTTGCTGACCGTTCAAATTGTCGTGCCCACGAAAAAACTCATCGACGTAAAATATTATAATTTTTTAATTTATTTTTTTTTTTTAAATTTTTTTAGCAGAAAAGCCATTTGTTTGTGAACATTGTGGAAAGGCATTTAAATTAAAGAGTTATTTAAGTAAACATTCACGGGTATGTCGACAACAAGAATAAAGTTATTAAAACAAAGTAATACAAAATTTTATTTAAAAAGAAGAGAACATATTTTTAAAAGAATTTAAAAGAATTTTAATTTCTCTTGTGCATTTTTTAAAAATTTTCTCATGTGCCTTTTTTGAATTTAATACTTAAAAATATAAATTTTTATTTAAAATCTATAAAAATCTCTCTTTGCATAGCAGGGATGTAGTGGTTAAAGAAAAGTTTTTGTTGGAGTTTCAAAAATTTCAATTTTTCTTGTTCAATTTTTTTTAATTTTATATAAATTTTGGAATTTTTTAGTCTAAAATAGGCTGTAGCCTATTTTTAATGTTTTTATGCTTTGTCACCTATTTTGGGATATTTTTCGTTAAAATACGATTTTTTACCAAAAATTCTTATTAATTTTTGAAAAAAATCAAAATTTTCCTGAAGTTTTTATCAATTTTTCTTACCAACCCAAAAAAATTATTTTTTCAAAAATTCAAGAAATTTCTCTTTATTATTTTCCAGTGAAGAAAAAATCCACCGATATACCCATTCAAATGTTGTAGGTCTTCAGGTATGACCCCATGGATTTAATAGTTCCAGTTCGAATGATATTAGTGCCGGACGAGAAAGAAAAACGCATAAATTTTCTTTTCCACAAATTATCTTTCTAATTTAGATTAAAAAGAACTTCTAAATTAGTTTATCCCACTAATAAAGAGTAATCATTCACCATTATCCCATTTTTAACGCAATGCCAGTTTTTGGCGTCGAGAGATGCTCAAGTCTATTGAAAAAGAGAAGTAAAGCCTCAAAGAGGTAAATAATTACTCGAATAAATGTGTCGAAGCCTTAAGTTTTAAACTTCAGTCATTTTGTGCTCGAAATCGGTAAATGTCCAGTTGATGTCCTACACGTCGGGAAGTGTAGGATTTTCAGGTATTAATAGTATAAAAGCAGAATTTCAACACAATCAAGTTCTTACTACTTTAGCATTTTATATTTAAAATACTCTTTCAGATTTTTAAATTAAAAACAATTTAAATGAATCGTCGACGAATTCAGTTTTTGAATATTGGAGGTAATCAAAATGAGAATCTTTCTGCATCTCCATTTGATTCGAACCAAGTAGATACATCAGAAACTGTTTATATTAGCTCTTTAGCATTGCTTAAGATGTTGAAACATGGAAGGGCTGGAGTGCCGATGGAGGTACTTCTTAACTTCTACATAAAAAGAAAGTTTCTATTTTCAGGTTATGGGTTTGATGCTTGGTGAATTTGTTGATGACTATACTATAGATGTTATTGATGTTTTTGCTATGCCACAATCTGGAACTGTATGCTGTTAACATTCACAAAAAAACAAATATTTTTAATTTTTATAGGGAGTTTCTGTCGAGTCTGTAGATGATGTCTTCCAAGCAAAAATGATTGATTTGTTAAAACAAACTGGCCGTCCAGAAATGGTTGTTGGTTGGTATCATTCTCACCCAGGTTTTGGTTGTTGGCTTTCTGGTGTTGATTGCAATACACAACAAAGTTTTGAAATGTTATCTGCTCGGGCAGTTGCTGTTGTTGTTGATCCAATACAGTCTGTGAAGGGAAAGGTAGGGGTTTTCTTTTCAAATTTTTCTTTCAAAATTTCAATTTATTTTAGGTAATTATTGATGCTTTTCGAACAATTCCGGATCCAATAATTATTTCAAAACTCGAACCAAGACAGACTACTTGTAATATTGGGCATTTACAAAAACATTCAATTCGGGCACTCGTCCATGGATTAAATCAAAAATATTATTCAATTCCAATTTCTTTTAAAACAACAAAAAATGAGCAACAAGTAAATTAAATTAATTTTTAAATTTAATTAATAAAAGTTTTTTTAATAAAGATGTTATTGAATTTAAACAAACAAAATTGGAAGGATTCAATGATGTTAGAGAAATATACTATTAATTGCTCTACAACCCAAAAATCTTCTGAACAAATTTTAAAATGGGCAAAACTATACAAAAAAGTAAATATTAAATAAAATTAAATATTTTCTTTAATTTTTTTAGGAAATTGAAGAGGAGGACACAATGACTGAGAAACAAATTGAAATTAAAAAGGTTGGTAAACAAGACCCTAAACGACATTTGGGTGAAGTGGTTGATAAAATGTTGGCTAATAATTTGGTTCAAGGCACAGCCGCGATGTTAAATATTTCTTTATTTAAATAAATTAATTGATTGTATTTTTGTTGTTATTTTAATTGAAATAAATAAATATTTTTATTAAAAATTATTTATTGTTTAATTAACGGAAAGGTTGGAAATTTTTTAAATTTTAAATTGAGACATTAATTTTTAAAAAATACTTTTACTTTAAAAAATCCTCCTATGTACTATAAACTAAAAACTAAATTAATTATTTACTATAAAATACAATCTACAAAATTTTATCTATAAATTAATTCATTTATTGTCGACCTAATAATTTCCCCCTCTTTTCCCCCCCCCCCCCCCCCTTTTATTTCGTCGCAGACTAAAATATATTTTTGTTTAATCGATTCATTTATTTTTCTTTTTTTTCTCGTATGATTTTTTAAAAAATAATTTATTTAAATTTAATTATTTTTATAAAATAAGATGACAATTGCCAAACAATTTACTCGTTCTGAAGTTTCTCAAAATAATTCAAATAATAATTGTTGGATTATTATTGGAAATAAAGTAAATTAATATTTAAATTTAAAAATAAATTAAAAGGTTTATGATGTAACTAAATTTTTGGATGAGCATCCTGGTGGGTGTGAAGTTTTGTTGGAGAAAGCTGGGGAAGATAGAACTGAGGCTTTTGAAGATATTGGACATTCAACTGATGCACGTAAAATGAAGGTAATTTTAAAATTTAAAGAGAGAAAAAATAAAATAAATTTAAAGGAGGATTATTGTATTGGGGAAGTTGTTGAGGTTGATTTTTTGTTTTTAAATTTTAGTTTAAAAATAAATTAAAAGGAGGAACATTGGAAATATTCTTATGATAAGAGGGATGTGACAAATAAAAAGACTGATGAATTGGAACAGAGGTTTGGGTTAAATTTGGGTTATTTGTTGATATTTTTCTTTTAATTGGGGTAGTTTAGGGGGTTTGAATGTTAGGGATTTTTTTTCTTAGAAATTAAAACGTTTTTAATTATATTATTTTTAAATTATATTCCTTTAAAGTAAGCGTAGCCCTGTTGAAATGCTCGTTTATTGTGTTCTTTTTGCTATTTGTGCAGCACTTCTATATTATCTTTTGATAGGATCTTGAAATGATTATTTGGTGGTGATTTAAATAAAAAGAAAGAGAAAATTAATTAATTTTAAATAAAATTTTTGTATTCTTTTATTTACAATTTATCCAATTATTTAGTTTAAAAATGTTTTTTAAATTAATTTTTGTTTTTATACTTATATCCAAACACTTTTAATTTATTCATCTCCTCTCATAAGCATGTTTGCAAAGTTTGAATTACTTTTATAATAAAATGAACATTGTAATGGAGAAAAGAAACCTTTTAAAAATTAATTTAAAAAAAAATATTTAATTTTATTTTTACAATTTTTTCTTGCCAATTTCGAATTACTATTAGCTCTTGGTTGTCTGTTATTTGTAATTAAAGTATTAATTATTCCATTTTCTTTTTTATTTTCTTCAATTTCTTTATCTTTTTTAATTAATTTATTTGCAGCAGAACGAACAAATGCAGAAGAAGGGGTTTCCAATAAACCTTCGGGGGTAAATGTTTGTTGTAAATCACCGAGGGAGGAAATTTTTCTTTAAAATTAAATTTAGTGTATTTATTTTTGATAAGAGATATTAAATTAAATAATTTTCTATAATAGTTTGTAATTGTACGACCGAACACTTCCTGAACTTTCCGTAAAACTTCACAAAGAATTAAAAGCCGCACATTATTTAATTTATCCTTGGAAAAAAGTAACATACGAACTAAACCACCTATTTCCTATCTCTTTTGGATTCGGATACAAAAGTCCTAATGATTACATACTTCTTCAAAACTCAACAATATTGCATATTTTTGTACTAATCGACTCGGTTTGGAAAGCCGAGTCGAATGAAAAATTATTTGTTTTTATTAAACCAAGACAAATGATATCTCATAAAATAGTGGCTGTGTGGTATAACAGAAAAGTACTCATTTCAAGTACTATAAAATTTAATTTAGCATTTCTGTTAATTTTTTATAATTTCTAATTAATTTCTATTAACCTTCCAAAAAACACTGGATGATTGCCGTCATTTACTAATTTATTTTCTTCTTTTAATTTATTTAAATTTCCATTATTTTCTCCTTCATTCTTTTCCTCTCCTCCTCCTTGATTCAAAAACTTTCTCAAATTTTGCATTGGCGGCAATTCATTATTGTAAAAGTTTGGGTAAGCATCCAATTTTTGAATTACCAAAAAATAATAAATAAAAATTATTCGAAAATAAAAGAAAATTTGTGTGGAATAATTAATTGAAGAAAAGCTTCTTTGTTGTTGTTTAGTTGATGACATTTTTAAATAAATTGTTTTTAATTATTATTATTATTAAATTGAAAATATTCTATAAAATTATTAAAAATAAAATATTAATTTTTAAGTAAAAATATATATAAAGATTGCAGAATGTCATAAATAAATATATTTTCTCAATTAAAATATGACAATTTTATTTATTTATTAGCCTAGTTAACAAAAATAATAAGTACATATTCAGGATGGCCATAATACCAAGAAAATTGAGTTTTTGCAATAAAATTGGATAAAAATACTTTTTCTAAATAAAAAAAATAAGATGTTTACAAAAAATTATTCTTTTAACGATATTTAATAATTGTTAATTATATTTAGTATGTTTATTAATCTACAATATAGCTATTATAATTAATGATTTAATTGGAAATATTTTTATGTTTTGGAACAAGAAAATATTTATTTATTTAAATATTTACATACATTATTTATCAGAATTATTTTTGTGTTTTTTACATCCATTTTATTTGCCAAATGATATGAAACATTTAAAAAAAGGCAAAATTAAAATAAGGGAGATGAGAAACTCTTTTGGTTTTTTTGAATTTTTTAATTTAAACTTGACATGAAAAATCCCACTTTATCTAAATTTGACTTTTTTAGTTTGTACATTTAATAAAAGCTAGAAAGAGGAGTAATGTACCGTGAATAATGATTTCATTTTGTTTTATTTTAGTAAGTGAATTATTTTTAAAATATTTGAGGGAATTTTAATTTAAATTATTAAAAAATTTTATTATTAGAACAAATATTTCTAATTAAAATACATATTTTTTGAAAACATTTACTAAACGAAAAACACTTTTCGATTAGCTTGATCATCTTAAAAAAGGTTTCTATTTTTAATTAATGCTTATTTTGACTCTTCTGGGAAAAACTATCCAAAATGATTTATTTTACTTTTTAAAGACTTTTTGAAATATCTATACTATATAAAACAATTTAAGTTGATAAATGAAATTTTAAAAAATAAAAAAAACTGAAAATTAAATAATATACTAATTTATACTTGATATTTAATACCTTTTTTAAATTAACCAGACTTTTATTTAAATACACGCCCTTTTTCAATTTAAAATTAACATCAAAAGTTTAATATAGTACTTATGTATGTATATTTTAATTGCAAATAAAACGGAAAAAGGAAATAATTTAAAGTATTTTTTTATATCTACTAAATAGACAAATAAATATATTTAAAAAAATATATTGACGATAAAGGAAATTGTGGGCGATTTAGAAGAAAAAATAATTTTTAACAAATAATTTTAGGGATAATTACTTTTAATTACAAATAGTTTAAAGTATTATTAAGTACATATTTATATGCGTAATATCCTTTATTTTATTTTTATAAAAATATATTTATTTTACGTCAACTATGTACTATATACTTTTTCTTGAACAAAACAAAAAAAATTTATTCTTTATATTCAAAAAAAATTAATTTAAATATTTTAATTAAAATGGCCATTAAAAGTGAAAATAATAAAGTGAAAAATAAAAATTAATGAAAGCAAATTAATAAACCCGCCTATAAAAATAGGAAACAATTACATATTATCCCTTCAAAAAAACTTTTGAAGGGGAAGGAAATGGCAGTTAAAACTTTTAATTAAAAACTTCTTTAATTTATTTTTCTTCAATTTCTTCATTTTCATCAGAATCTATATTTGTCTCAATTGGACAATCATATAATTTAGTTGCCGTTCTATGTTGAGGTGGGGGTGGAGGTGGAGGAGGAGGAGGAAGAGATTCTATAATAATATAATTTTTTAAAATAAATGTTCATTTATTTTTTCAAAACCTTTTTCTATTTCATTTCCTAATTTAAAAGGTTTAGCTCTATGTACAGGTTTCATTGTAAGATAATCAGAAGTAGATGTTCCAACAATATTTGTAGGAGAATCACAATTGATATTTTTTTGTTTTTTATTTTTAATTTGTAAATTATTATTTTGTTCTTCTTCTTCTAAAATTTTATTATTTAATTCTTCTGAATTTAAAGGACGTCCAAATGAATGTAATAAAAGTTGAGCATTTTTATTTATTTCTTTCTAAATTTAAATATTAAAAATAATTATTTTTAATTCCAAAAACTTCTTTAATTGCCACCAAATCGCCCGAAGAATGTCTTGGGGGAGGTTCTGGAACATTCAAAATATTTTCTTTTTTTCTTCTTTTTTGTATTCCCCCAGTACTTCCAGATGTTCTTCTTTTTGGTATTGAAGGAGAGGAAGAATTATTTAGTTGATTGTTACTTTGAGTTGTTTGATTAGATTTTAATGAAATATTGTCGATAATTGTTGTTGTTGGCTATAAATTGAGGAAAAAAATAAATTAAAAAATTTTAAGAATAAAGTTTTCAACTTTATTTTGTTGTATTCTATGCATTGGTTTAACTTCCACGGTTGGAAGAGCAGCCGTTCCATGAGCATCACGTCTATAGCGAGGTGGACGTGGAGGTGGGGGTTGTTGGTCGGCAATTACTTGGCTAGCTTTAAATTAATTTTTTTAGTTGAATTTAATTATTTTTCTCAAATATTTTAAAAAAATTTACCAGTTGTTTTTCGAGGAACTAAAGGATTACAAGCAGGATCAGGTGTTTGTCTCCGACTTGGAAATTCAATAGTTCCTCTAGTAAAAGAACCAGAATATGTTGTTGTCCCTCCTCCACCAAAATTTCTTTTATTTTTAATTGACTTTCGTTGTTTTCGATTATTTAAATTATTTTTATTTTTTCTTTGACAATACCGACAACAAATAAAAAAAGAAAAAGAAATTAAAGCTAAAGACAATAAACAAGTTGGAAGAAGTAAAAGAATTAAACGATTAGAATCAACCTTTAAATTAAAAAAAAAATTAATTTAAAAATATAGAATGTACAGCCCGCTATTTATGGAGCGGCCTTTACACCGGCATTATCTTTAAAAATATAAGAAAAACTAGAGGAAGCTGCAAAGGGTAAGAGAGCTAAAAAGCAAAGTCTACTTCAAATCTCGATTATATGTATAAACTAGACGACTGTAGCTATTCTTATATTTTTTAAAGACAAGAATTGTGGTGAAACATTGTATAGCGAGCTTAACATTTTCTTAAAATTAATTAATTAATTAATTAATTACAAATTGTTGTAGCCAATCATTGTTATTATTATTTGTATTTAATAATATTTCATTTAATACTTGTCCATTTTTAATATTTGTTTCTTCCTTTTTCAAAATTTTCTTAAAATTAATTTTTTAATTAAAAAGAATATATTCTTTAAATTTACTGAAATATTTTGTTGAATAGAAGGGGGAGGAGGAGGCCTTCTCACAAAATTATTTAACAAAAAATTATTTTCCACAAAATTTTCTTTTGTTTTAATAATCCTTTCTTCTGGTTTGAATGTTGGTGGTATAGGAGTAGTTAATTCTCGATTGGAATTTAAATTAAATTGGTTCTGATTAGCTACAGAAAATTTTTCATCTTTTTCTTTTGACTAAAATTTAAATTTTTTATTCAAAAAAATATAAATATTCCTTTACCTTTTCTTCTTCTCCTCCTTTCCCTCCAAAAATAACATTAATTTGAATTAATCCTTCACAACTTTCAACATTTCCATTTTCTAATTTAATCAAAGCCAAAACATTAAATTCATATATTTTTTGTTTTTCCTCAATTAAATTAGCCAAATAAACTTCCCCATTTGTAGGGTGAATTGAAATAATTGAAGGAATTTTTCTTTGATTTTTATTTATTAATAAAGAATAATTAACTGGCAAAGAAGGATTATTATTATTTAATAATTCCAATTTTCCAATAAATGTTCCAACTAAAAAAATAATTTTTTATTTAAATTTTTTTCAAAAAAATTTACCAGAAGAATTTTCAAAAATATTCCATTTAAATATTGGATATTTAAAAGAAATTGTTGGAATTAATTTTTGTGGAAGTCTAACAAGTACATTAGCAATTCCTGAATTTTTAGAAGTTTCAACAAAAGCTTCAACAGTTAAATTAATAAATAATTGTTTTGAATTGTTTGAAGTTGGTAATGAATTTAAAATAAATAAAAGTCCAGAATCTAAATCCAAATTAAATAATTTTAAATATTCCTCCTCTTCTTCCCCTCCATCTTCTTCATTATTTAATAATCCATTACTTATTTTTGCATTTTTAATTTTATAACAAATTTTTGATAAATTTTTGTTTGGAATTTCTGCTTTTAATTGAAGTAAAGGAGAAGGATAAATTTTCTTTTCAGTCATTTCTGCCATTTCTACTCGATATATTTTTGCTGAAAATATTGGTATTTGGGCATCAACAATTTTTAAATTTATTTGTATTGGAAGACTTGAAAGTGAAGGTATTCCTTTATCAATAGCAAAAACATTAAAATTAAATATTTTTTGTTGTTTTTCTTTTCGAGAAATTGATGAAGAAATTAATAGACGGCCGTCAGATTTATTTAATTGAATAAATGAAGGGATTGAAGCCTTTTTAAGTGAGAAAATTATTTTATTGAAAATTTTGAAAATTAATTGGAATTAATTGAGATTTTATTAATTTAAACGGACTTAGGTGTCAAAAAATTATTCTGGGTATCAGTGGAACATTTTCTAAAATAATTTATTAATTAAAATACCTCATCTTCCAATTCATAATTAACCATTCCATTAATTCCAGAATCAGCATCCTTTGCATTAAGCTGAAGAATTTGATCGCCTATTTGGGCATCTTCAAAAACATTAATTAAATATTTTTGTTCAGAAAATATAGGCGGATTATCATTAATATCCTCTAAATTAATTTTTACCAAACATAAAGCTGACAGATTTTTAACTAAAAAAAATAAATAAATTTATTTTTTCCAAAATTTATTTTAACCTTCATCAAAAACTTTAATGGCCATTAATATTTGTGGCTGTTCTTCTCTGTCAAATAAAATTTTTGGCATAGGATTTCCATCATCTATTAACCACAAAATCCCAAAATCTTTGTCTAATTTAAAAAAACGTTCCAAAATAATTTCTTCGAATTTATTAAAAATTAATTTAAATTTCAATTTATTTCCAAATAAATTATTCTGTAAAGGCCAAAGTGAAAGTAGAATTGTTTGATTAATTAAAGGACGTCCTTCAGGAATATTTAAATTATATATTTGTTGAGGAAAACTAAAAATTGAGGAAGATTCTAAATTATTCTCTAACAAAAATTGTTCGAAATAAATTTCAGAAGAAGGTAAAAATTGAATTTCTTTTTCATTATTTATTGAAAGTGTTGAAAGTGTTGTTGATGTAGATATTTCTTCATTTAATAATAAAGAATTTAAATTATTATTGTCAAAAGTTTCATTAAATGTTGAAATAAAAGGAAATGAAAATGTTGAATTTAACTTTAAAAAATATAAAAATTAATTTAGAGAAAAATAAAGAAACAAACATTAACAAAAATATTATAAATTAAAATATTATTTTTGTCATTTTCTCTCGAATTTAAATATATCGAACAATTTAATTCATTTAAACCTGTATAGGCACTAAAAATAATTAAAATTAAAAAAGACTTATTTAATTAAATTACCCATTAAATACTAATTTTCCATTAGAAAAATGTATTGACAATAATTGTTGACATTCTCCTTTTTCTTCTATTTTATAATAATAATTAGAAGTATCAATTAAATAATTATTTTCTTTTTTATTTTTAATTTCCTCATTTTCTTCAATATTTAAATAATTTAAAATTTTTGGAGAATAAATTAAAGAATTTAATTTTCCAAAATATTTTTTAAAATTATTAATTGAATAATTTAAATATTTTGGTTGAAATTGATTGGAAATAATTAAAGATTTTGGTGCTAATAAATTTAAATGACAATCACTTGAACGAGGAAAATTTCCGGAATCAGTAGCTCGAATTAATAAATTAACCTTTTTTTGGAAAATAAAAAATAAAAATAAATACATATAATTAAATTTTTTTAATTTAAGTTTTAGAATTCTCTAAAAATATACGGGATACAAAAAATCTTTCGATTAGTTTTTAAACAAATAAAAATATATATAAACTTACTTCTTCCAATTTTTTAGGCCATCCTTTTAATAACCTCAATTCCCCTGTTGTCTCATCCAAAGAAATGAGCTTCTGATACTTTTTCTGTTCATAAATTAATGAATATTTTACCTAAAAAATTTAAAAAATATCCAAATATATTCAAATTATTTATTTATTACTTTCCCAGAATTTCCTCTATCTGGATCAACAGCTTCAAAAGTATATATTAAATCTCCAGGATTTCCATCGCCTTCAAGTAAAATTTCCAAATAACCCTCTTCTTTACCATAACATTCAATAAACTTTTAAAAACGAAATTAAATTTTCTTTAAATTATTTAAATATTTACCATTGGAGAATTTTCATTTTCCTCTCCCCTATTTATTCGGAGAGTAGAAAAGCCGCTAATATTGTATTTTTGATGTTGTGAATAAATTGCTGTTAAATTATTTTTAAATTTTTATAAACTTTTAAAATTAATATTTACTAGCTCCAATAATTAAAGTAAAGGGAGAAGCTAAACGTTGAGGTAATTGTTTAGCTAAAATAACATTTCCATTTATTGGATCAACACGAAATACTTGGAAATAAAAATTAAATTTATTTTTATTTAAATTTATTTTACCATCAAAACCATTAATATCATCAATTAAATGTAAAAAGTAATGAATTAAATATTTTGTTGAAATTTTATTGTTATTAATTAATTGGGGTTTATATAAAATATATCCAATAGGCATTTCATTAAATATTTGTAAATTAATTTCTTCTTCAAAAAATTTTATATTTTCTTTTGAATATTCTAATCGAATTATTAACTAAATACAAAAAATAATTATATTTAAATTAAAATATTTACTTTATCGTGTATTGTATCCACCCCATCACTTAAAGAAAATTTAACAATAATTTCTTGTATATTATTTAATTCTTGAATATTTTCAATTAAAATTAATTCAGCTCCTTCTTTAACATTTCTTAAAGCAAAAAATTTTTGAGCGAGAGAATCTTCTTCTCCATTCTTTTTTTTTAAAAGAAAAAAAAATAATTTTCAAATATTTTTTATTTTTAAATTTCCACCTCATCTTCAATTGACCACCAAAGAGGGTCATCATCTTCGTCTTTTGCTTTAATAGTTCCAATAACAGAACCCTTAAATAATTTAAAATAAATTTAATTTAAAAGATTAATTAACCAAAGATTCAAAGCCTGTCAAAATAATTTCACGCCATTTTTCTGGATTTGTAAGGAAAGGGGCTCGATTAGAGGCACTTAAACGACTTGCTCTTTCTTTAAATTGAGAAAATTAAAATACAAAAAACATCCTTCCAAAATTACCCAAAACAGGCATTTTAACACTCGCATTTCCCTTTAATTTTGGATTTCCCCCATCTTCAGCAAAAACAACAAATTCAACCAAAGTTCCAGCTTTTAAAGGTATTTTAGCAAAAATTCGTCCATTTACATCAATTTCAATTTTTTCATTTTTTGGTTCAATCCAATATTTAATTTTCGAATTAATTCCAAAATCTTTATCTATTGCATAAACTCTTCCTAAAAATCCCAAAGTATTTGCTGGGGCCGTTAATGAAGATAAATATTTTAAATCAAAAATTGGAAAATTATCATTTTCGTCTTCCAAATTTATTTGGACAATTGAAGTTGAACATAATAAACCTAAGTCACAAGCACGAATTGTTAATAAATATTCTGATTGAATCTTTTTTAAAAAGAAAATAATTAAAAAACTCCCATTAAATATACTTACTTCCCTATCTAATTTATTTTTTCCAGTTAATATATGACCAGTATTTTCATCAATAACAAAATTTTGTTGTTCATTTATAATTGAATATTTAATTATCTTTTCTAATTTATTAATTGATTGTTCATCTGCATCTGTTGCCTCTACCTTTAAATTAAAAAAAAATATTTTTTTTAATTTAATCTTTAAATTCTTAAAAATAATTCTCCAAAAAAATTCTTTTAAAAAATAATTATTTTTATGTTAAAATACCTATTAAAACAATTAAGTAATTAGAACAATAACAACTATTTTTTAATCTCTGTTAAAATTTCTCCCCCAAATTCTTTAATTATCAATTTACCTTTAAAACAACTTTATTTTCTTCACAATTTTCATTAATAATTGCTTTATATAAAGGCATAGAAAATAAAGGTAAACGGTCATTTTGATTTAAAATTTTAATTAAAATGTGTTGATGTGTTTGTTGTTGTTTTAAATTGTTTAAATATTCTGCTCTAATTGTTAACCAAAATTGTTGTCTGTCTTCAAAATCCAATTCTAAATTTTCCAAAAAAAAATTATTATTTTTTCTTTCCTCTAAATAACCTTTTAATGTTTTTAAACTTCCATTTTTCGAATTAATTTCAAAAAATCCAAAACCATTTCCCCCAACCAATTTATAATTAATTTCTTTTTTTATTTTATGTTGCCTTCTTTTTCTCTTCCCTTTAATTATTCCTTCTTTTTCTTCTTCAATTTCAGCATTTAAACGTAAAATTTCTGTCCCGATTGGAGAATTTTCTTCAATATTTGCTTCTAAAGCAATTTCTGAGAATTTTGGTTTATTTAATTTTGAATTGTCAAAAACTTTAATTAAATTAATTTTAACTAAACAATTAATTAAAGATTCTAATGTTGGTGTTCCTTTGTCTTTTAACTTTAAAAAAATTAAAATTTAATTTATTTTTTAAACAATTAATTACTTTAATATTAAATTGATATTCTTTTTGTTTTTCAAAATTTAAAGTTTGTTGTTGTTCCAAATCTACAAATAAACATCCACTATCTTCATCCAAACGGAAAGGAAGAATTTTATTTTTATTTTTATTTTTATCACTCATTAAAATATAAATTATTTCACTATTTTTTTGTAAATCTTTATCAAAAGCACCAATACACCCAACCTTTTAATTTTGATTTTAAAAATTAATTTTTAAAATTAAAAACCAATTGCCCATTCGGAGAATCTTCCAAAATATAAAATTGTTCAATTTCTCTCGAACATTCTGGATGTTGATCATTAATATCATCAAGTATTAAAGTTATATTTGTTAATGTTTGACGTTGAGGAATTCCAAAATCAGAAGCCAAAACTTTAAAGAAATTATTTAAATTATTATCTAGAGAAATACCATTAAAAGTAATTAAATCTCCCAAAACTTCTCTGTCCAAAGATTTAATTGCTTTAATTAAACCATTTTGGGAATTAACAGAAATTAATTTATTTATTTCATTATTTTCAATTAATTTATATTCAATCCTTCCATTATCACCCAAATCAGGATCAAATGCCTTTAATTGAAGTAATTCTGTTCCGGGGGCATTTTCTTCTCGAATTGCTATTCGATATGAATAATGCTCGAATAACTAAAAATATGTTTAAATTAATTAGGATTTTTGGGTTTTTAAAGGAAAATTAAATATTAAATGAAAAGAAAAGCTGAAGGCAAACTGGAGATGATAAGAAGTGGAACCTAATTAAAATAAGATACAAGTAACAAAAATGATGGGACCCCAGAATTTTATTAGTTTATCCTATTAAATATTTATCGAAACAAAAATTCAAATTTTTGGTCTTAAATTTTTGTTAATTAAATAAAAATAATTTTCATAAACGGAAGCTATTTAATTCTAAATTTTGAAAAGAATAATAATATTTTATGAGATATCAATAAAAGTTTGGGTATTATTACTTAATGTAAAATTAATAAAGACATCCCTAACCTATTATCAGATAAATTAAAAAAGACCCCCCCCCCCCCCCTCCTTTTTAATTTAATAAAAAAATATTTATTTACAGGTGAATGTTCATTTCTTCTTCCAGGTTTTACTCTAATTTTAAATTCTTTTTTAGTTCCTCTTTGTTTTTCTTTATTTACAGCCATATCTATAGCCAATATTTGAATGGGGAAATCAAAATTATTTCCTTCATTTCCCCCCAATTTTCCATTTAAAGAAAATAAAAGAAATATTCTTCCATTATTTGGTTCAATTCCAATAAAGGAATTTATTTTTGAATTATTTGTTGAAGAAATTAAAAAATATTGGATATAACCATTAATTCCAAAATCTTCATCTTTTGCTTTAATATAACCAATTGTCTTTAAAAAAAGAAATTTATTTTTATTTAAAAAAATCTACAAACAGTATTTTGTTCAGCATTTTCTTCTATTTCTCCAATTATTTCATTTTCTTTAATTAAAAATTCAGGTGCAAATTTATTAGGCATTTGGCAAGTATTTTGAATAATTTCTGGACTGACAGAAATTTCTTTAAAAAATAATTTTATTTTTCTAAATTATTTTCTTTCTTTTTTACCTTTTCCATCATCCTTTTTAATAATTAAAGGTAATTGTGTTTGATGTGAGAAAGGCCATCCCCTATCCATTGCTAATATTTTTATATTAATTTGTTGTTGACTATTAGGCCATTCTTTAATTAATCGAAGCTAAAAAAGAATTAAAAAAATATTTATTTATTTAATTTAAATACTTCTCCAATAAATGGATGCAAATCAAATAATTGCCAATTATCACCAATTATTTTGTAAATTATTTCGGAATTTTTTCCTTCATCAAGATCTCTTGCCTTTTAAAAAATAAATATTTATTTTTAATATTATTTTAAATTTATCAATTTTGCTTTGAATTCCCAAACCCCCTTTCAAAACTCCCAAAAATAATCCCAAAATTTTTTTCAAGAGAAAATAACTTCCAAAATGAACACCCCCCCCCCCTCCAATTTTGATATTATTAACTATTAAAAAATTAAAAAAAATACTTTAGCTTTCCAAATAATATTATCACTTGAAGTTAAAGGTCTTAAATGTTTTTCTTCAATAATAATTAAATTATTTAGAGGAATCTCTAAAAATTCGGGGCAATTATCATTAAAATCTAATAAATTAATTTTAATTTCCAAAGGCGTTGATTGAAGTTTTAAAGATTTTTTTGAATTTCCCAATTCTAATTGGGCGACAATAGAAAAATTAAATTGTTTTTGATGAAGAGGATTTTCATAATCAAGAGAAGAAATTAATTTTAATTGGCCGGTTAATTGGTCTAAATCAAAGGGGAATTTTTGTTGTTGTTGGTGACGTAAAAGTTTAAATCTTAAAAAGAAAAAATAATTAATTGGAGAATATTTCAATCAAATGCCCACCTAATTTTCCCTTTATCAACCAAATAATTATTCGATAAATTATTTATTTCTGCCTGAAATTGCCACAAAACACTCCCAACAGGCATTGACTCATTTAAATTAATTATTAAATTATCTCCAACATATTTTCCAGCATTTAATGTTATTTTTCTACCAATTGAAGGGTCTATTTTTATTTGAAATTCTTGATCACCAAAAGTAATACTTTTACCATTTAGTAAATCTATTTGCCTAAAAATTAATTAATTATATTCAAGTACACATTATTTAATTACCGGCTAACACTAATTCTAACAGTTAAAGTCTCTTCTAATCCCAAAATGTCACGGGGAAATTGAGGGCAAATATTTAAAGCAAATTGTATTAAATTAATTCTTTCAATCCAAGCACAATTCCAAATAAATTGTGTATTTAATCGAGATAATTGAATATTTATATTTTCTTTGTTTTGCAAGTCTTTATCAAATAATTCAATTAAAGCAACGGGAACTGGATGCTCCAAAATTGGTTGAAAGTGAATTTGTCGAAAAATTATCTAAAAAGAAATTTAAAAAAAATAAAAAAAAGGGGGGGGCAGAGAATCAACAAATGAAAGGACCGAGAATTCAAACAAAAAAATCTTTCCAATTTTACCTTTGGTTGTTTTAACATTTCATTTCCATCCAAAATTTGTATTTCAACAAAAGCTTTATTTCTAATATTAAATAAATTTGGAGAGGAAAAAGAATTTAATTCTTTATTTGAATTTTGTAATCTAGATGCTCTATCTTCTATTTTAACTTCCAAAGTTATATTTGTTGGTAATTTAAGAGAATCTAGGGAGGCAAATGTACGTAACCAACCAGTTGTTTGTTCTAAAAAAATTTTTTTTAATTTTTAATGTTAAAAAATAGTGACCCCCGAGAATGACCCCCCAATAAATGCCTACAAATTAATTTTTAAAAAATAAATTAGTACCAATATAAAAATATTTAGAAGGTTTAATTAAAGAATATAAAAGTTCTCCATTTAATCCCTCATCAGCATCAAATGCCTCCAATTTAATTATTTTAGAGTTTAAAGGTAAAGGTAAAATATTTAAATTTAAAAAATAATTTAATTCTTTAAACATTGGAGGATTATCATTTTCATCCAATACACGAATATTTATCTAAAAATATTTATTTTAAATTTATTTTTAAATCTAAATATATACTTTAGCTATAGATTCTAATGCTAATCCCCTTCTCCTTTTTGTTGTAGCTAATATAATTAAATTAAATTCTGGTTGTAATTCTCTATTTAAAACGTCCATTTGATCTTTATATTCTAACAACAAAAATGCAAAATTTCCCAATCTTTGACTTTTAACACCAAAACGATTTTGTTCATCTCCCTTTATTTTTAAATATTTATTTTAAAAGACAACAATAATTACTTGAGTAATTCTAAATTGTATTTGGTTATACCCTTTGGGTAACCAACACCCAACCATTTGGGCATTTGATGGATTTAAAGCTATATTCGCCCTTTGACCGACAGAATTTTCAAAAATACTTAAATTATAAAATGGAGCTGTAAATTGAAAATCTGTTGGTGTAGATGATGAAAGTAAATGAGAAAATGTGGGGGAAGGACTTCTACTATGGCGAACTAAAAATTAAAATTTTTTTTAAATAAAAATATATTTATTTAAGTTAAATACTTTTATGATGTCTGTGTTTATTTGCATTTACTCCAAAAATTAAATAATTAATAAATAATTCCAAAATAAATATTAAAAATAAAAAATTAAATAAAATTTTAATCATTTTTTAATAGAAAATAATTAATTTTAATTTTTGTTGTTGCATTATTTGAAAAATAAAAGTAGTTGTTTGGTTTTTTAAATACCCGTTGAGATGAAGTGAAGGTAGAGAAGGGGGAGAGATCAAATAAGGGAAAAATATTTTTTTGGAATGAAAGTTTTTTTAAAATAAATTTCTGAAAAAAATAATTATTTAAATAACTAGTAATTACAAAATTAAATTAATATATTTTAAATTAAAATGGCATTGACCAAACAAAAATATAACAAAATTATTTTTAAAAGTATTCTCAAGAGTAAATAGTGCCACAAACAAACACATGTCCTTTCTCCCCCTTTAAAAGGACCGTTGACCATGCAAAAGCAAATACATACATAGAAGGGCGGAAGGACAATACAATTAGCTGTCCAATATATTTTATAAAAGTAAAAATGAGGGATTGAGGAGAAAATAGACAAAAGTAAAGTGCGCAAGTAAGGAAACAAAATTGATGGAAGGAAGGAAATTTAAAGAAAAATGGAAAATTTAAAAAGCGGTGACAATGAAAAATGAATAATGATAGCTAAAATAAAATATTGTCGGGGTAGAAGTGGTCAATAATTGGGAAAGGCGAGAAATAATAATTATATTTTAAAAATAAAAGGAGGAAGTGGGAAATTTTGGCTTGGAAATTTTATTAAATATAGTTTAGTATGTTAAAAATAATTTAAAGATAAAATAAATTAAATAAAAATAATTAATAAATTAAATTTAAAAAAAGTTTAAATAAAAAATTCAAAAAAACAATGTAAATATAAATGTTATTTTTATAAGGTCATCATCATCAATTCAAGTGTGGCATTTTGCGAGTCGTGCCGGTCTCCACCATTCTTAGAAAATAAAAGGAAATAGTTTTTTTAAAGAAGATGTTATTGTTGATGTAGTAGTTATTTATATATAAATTTAAAATAAAGATAAGCCAATCAAAAAATTTCAATAAAAAATCTTTTCAAAAATTAAAAAAAGACAAGCAAAGAAACAAATAAAAAATAACAAAAATTGTTGTCCTTGAAGTAACAAAAAGGATATATATTTATTTGAATGTAAAAAAGTATGTACAAATGTGTTTTAGAATGAATTGAAATATAGATGAATTTAGTTAGTTAGAGAGTGCGAGCTGGTAATGAATGAGTAGTGATTGGTAAATATACATATATTTATATTTAAATTAAATAAAATTCTTTAAAATATTAAAAAAATGTGTTTGTAATACTTTAAGTAAAAAAAAAATTAAAAGTTAATAATCTTTTTATTTAAAAAAACTGTCAAAAATATTTTTTTAATTATTTAAGATAAAAATAAGTAAATAAACAAAACAAAAATTAGGAAGATTATAAATTATTAGCTTTTTTTATTCCGTCAAGTGGAATAACAATTACTTTGTTTAAATAATCAACAATAAAGAAAAAAACAAGTATTTTAAATCTTAAATTTTATTATTTAGGCTAGCAAAATAAATAAAAAGTTTTTTTAAACATTTTAATTTTTAAATTATTTATAAAAATACATAAAACAAAAATATTTTTTTTCAAAAAAATATTTAATTCTCCTAATGGTCATTTATTTTTGAATAAAAAATTTTAAAGAAATTCTTTCACAAACTAAAGCCAATTACTACAACAATTACTTTAATTTGAAATGTAACAAAAAATGTATATAAAAAATTTAAAAAAAAGATTGAAGAATTTAAAAGTTTAAAAATAAAAAAAAATAAAAAGAAGCCGGCCGAGGTTACTTGAAGGATAACTGCAAGCATCAGAAATACATCCCTCCAGCCGGTCATTACTCATATAGACAAACATTTTGTGTGTGTGTATATATAGCGAATTATCGACATTGGAATTTACTAGTAAGGGTGAAAAAAATATATATGTAGAAAGACCCTAAGGGGTAAAAGAGGAAAATGTTTTAGTGGTCAATGCATGCAAACAGTGAAAATTAGAAAATTGGGAGGAGAAAAATAAAAATGAATTCAAAAAGAAAATTATTGTTTAAATTTGAAATTATTGTTTAATTAAATTAAATTTTAGGTAAAGAAATTGGAAATTAATTTTAAATTAATCTAAAAAAATATTCCTCAATGTTTTTTAAATAAAATTATTTTTAAAATTATTTTCTTTTGTTTGTCTGTTTCTATATGGAAAATAAGTAAAGGGGAAATTTGTTAAGAATTAAAAAAAATTAATTGAAATAAAAACATTCGGAAAATGTTTTTAAGAAAAAAGTATTAGCAACGTTTGAGAAAAGGTTAAATTTATATGTTAATGACAGATGGAGAAAAATAGGAAAAAGAAAATCAGACGATTTTTGGTGTAAAAAAAGGGAAGGGAGGGAGAAAAGAATTTTTTTTCTGAATAAAAATTGTTTTGAGAAAATAGAGAAAAAATATTTACATAAATAAATTTTTGTTTTTATTTAATTAATTAAAAATATTTTTATTTATTCCAAATTTAAAGAAAATTCCAATAAATCAAAATCAAGAAATTGAATCATAAAAACACCCTCTAGCCCCAATACTTCAATAAAAATAATTTTAAAATAATAATTTTTTAAAAAAGCAATTAACAATTTTGAAAGAAAATAAATACTAAAAATTATTTACAAAAATAAATACAAATAATGATGAGAGAGCAACGATCAATAGAAATAAATATAGAAAATGTGGGGAGGAGGTAAAACGATTGATCTATCCGGCTGGCAATCTTCCCGCAAATTTTAAAGACATTTTATATATTAATTTACATAAGATATTTTTTTGTTGGTAAATGTAAATTATAGTAATAAATATTTAAAATTATTTTTACTTTAAAAAAAGTCGGATTGGAATCGAAAAAATTGAAATGAGTCGGACTCTGCTTAAAAATAAAAAAAAAGTAAAATTAAAATGTTAATCTAACAAAGTAACAACAAAATTTTTATTTTAAAAGTAACAAAAATTTTGATTTATTAAAAATTCCAAATACTTTAAATATGTATGTAAATTGTTAAAATATTTTAAATGTTTGTATGTATGTATTTACGTGTATATTCATTTTATTAAAGCTGTAAACTATCCTAGCAATAACAACTTTTATTGACCATTTTCAATGAGAATTTTAAATAGGACAAAAATAAAAGTAATAAACAGACGAAAATGGAGAAAAATAAAAAGACTTTTTAACTATTCTTCCTCTTCACCCGAATGCTTATACTCTTAATTCTCTGTAGAAAAAATGTGAATGAAAAAGGAGGGGACAATAACAACCCCACACATATACAAGCATCTTATATTTAGCCCTGAATCGGATGGACAGTCTCCCCGAACCTTCTTTATTTTATTATTTTCCCCAAGCTCACTCACATTTTGTACGGTTGGAGAGGCAGAAAGGCCAGTAGTTGGTGGGGTTTGAAGGAATATTTTAGAAGAAGAAATAGGGGGTTCGTTGATTCGATGAGTGAACGAGAAAAAAAAAAGAAGAAGATTGTTTTGAGGAGGGAAGAGAGGGAATAAATATATATAATCTAGAAAATGGATGGATGCGCGCATTGGTGAATATGAGGGGATAAAACAGGCGGCAATGAGGAAGAAGAAGAATAAGATGAGGGAAGGGTGTAAAAATGGGAAGGATAACGCCGTTATATCGGATTCTTAATGGAAGAATTGTTAATGTTTCATTCAAATGTGCATGGAAAACAAAATTTGTCTGGAAAACAAATTTTGTAAATGTTTTCTTAAAGTAATCCTTGGCTTTGAAATCTCCATTACTTCAAATTTTCAATAAACTATAAGTAAAATTATATTACAGTTTTAGTAACACTCAATAAGGTACAAGGTATTAAGCTTTTAAGGTAGAAAAACAAATTCCTGATTTTCAGGAATCGAAAATTTGGACGGCATGATATACATACTACTATACTACCTCAAACAAAAAACCGAAAAAGCAAACATTAAAAAATTGTGGGGAACATATGGAGGGTAAGTATGGGGATTGATTTACTGCTGTGATGTGCTTTTTTCCAATGACCGGAAGAAAATCGTTCGTCTACGCTTTTTTCTTCTTCTTCTTCAAAACCACTGCCACAAAACTAAGCACATTGTATATATTGACTTAACCTATACAATTTAACAAAAAATACTACTATAACCTTTTGAATGGCAAATGAATTAAGAAAATTAAAGTGATTTTAAACTAAATTTAAAAATTCCAAAATAAATATTTATGTTAAGTTAGTAATGCGTTTGTTGGAGAAAACTGAACGTATATTTTAGATTGATCCATTAGATAATAATGCATAAAGTTTATTTATTAAACTTTTAAATTTAAAAATTATTTTTGACCGTCGCCAAAAAAACATTTAAAATTTTGGTCACGCGTTGAGTATTGTTAATTTTGGTTGTTTGTTTGGTGTAATACATAAATGTTTGTGCATATTATTTAATTATATTATGTCCAATAAATGGGAGATGAAATGAGCTGACCGGCTACTCATTGTTAAAAGCAAAAAAACTTTTTAGTGGTCGCAGTATTTTCATGGAGGAATGAATATTTAATAAGTAAATATTTTAGTACTAAATAATAATAAAGTGGTTTTTTGTAAAAATGACGGGAATAAAAAATGGAAGTTATAAAAAATAAATAGGTAATACATAATGTAGTTTTATAATTCGAGTAATACATATGTACATTTCTAAAATAATTTAGTATAGTACTATGTAGAGATCGAGCTGGATTTGGATCCAGAATCAAGATCAAGTCGTTTTTCAGAGTTACTTGATTCTCGATCTCTAATACTAATTATTATTAGTCAAAAATATACCTAATTAAGAAAAGGTGTTAAACCAAATTTTAAATTTTCGGGAATTGCAGAAATTAACTGTGAAAAACAGGTACGGAACCAAAAATCGAAAATTCCCGCTTTCAATTTTCTCTGTCCAAAAATGTCCGGGACTAAAACACAAAAAATAATAAAATTATTAGAACAATTAGTTTTGGCAAACTGTACAGATTCATATTCTTTCTCTTTGAGGTACGTTTATTTGTTAGAGTTCCCATTTAAACGCCGTTAACATTTTACACAAATCTTTTCTTTTTGTCAAGGATTTTTAATTTTAACTTTAACTCACAATTTTTTCTAAATTTTATTTTTTATATGAGTACAAACAACAATAAAAATAAAAATCAAGAATTTAATACTCAAGGAAACTTTAGTCGGAATATTCCAGAAATTCATTCCCCCCAACCAACTTCTCCATTAATTACATTACCTGGGGCAGCAAAAAGAAAATCTTCGGGAGGAATTTCGAATAAAATGGAAAATTTTTGTTTTGTTGATTATGAGGAGGAGGAGGGTGAGGGAGGCCCTAAACCAAAACAAAAACGTTATGAAGATAAAATGAGTGCAAAATTAGATAATATACATTTAATTGAAGATTTTGGACAACAAAAACAAAATAATAAAGGGAAAAGTAAATCAACATTTTCTGCTTCTTTGGAACAAATTAGTCAACCAAAAATTGTGGAAATTGTTGAATGGTTTGGGGTTTTAATTAAATATTTTATTTAAATATTTAAAAGGGATTCTGAATTACTTGATGAAGAAGCTTCTTTGCCTATTATTGAAGAACCTAACGAAGAAAAAAATTTGGAATTGAAGAAAGAAACAGAAGAAAAAGGTTTTTTGAGTTTTTTAGACTAGGATCATAAGACTAGGTCGGGTTTTAAATCTAATATATCAAAATAATTGGTAGTAGAAAATCTGGCACGCCGCCGTTCTCTGACCATTATGAGACTTTTGGCACCTAATTCTGAACCTTCTTTACTACATGTAAAAAATCAATGTTAGTAGGGAGAAAAGAAGGATTGATAGAAAAGAGAGAATCAAATACCTATATTGGTTTTATAGAACAGCGGCCCCCTTAAACGGCAGGAGTGCCGAAAAAATTTATAATTTAATTAGTTAATTAACAGATTTTGGGAGTTTATTTTTTGTTAAAATAATTTTTAAAATTTTTCTAATTTCCATATATATAAATTCTGAAGAAGACAATTACAATTCTGAAGAGGATGACGATGATTTAGAAAATGAAGATGAAGATCAGAAAATTATTCTTAGCGAAAAACTTCGTCAATTTATTTATGAGGGAAATGAAAAGGATTTTGCTCTTTTACCAAAGTTTTTTTTGTTCGAAATATATTTTTAACAAAAATTTTCAGGCCAAAATCTAAAATTATTGGAAATGAATTAATTTTATTTGTCCAACCTTCTATTTCTTCTCTTTTATTCAAAAATTCATCAAAACCACAAATTGAAGAAATTAATATTGGACAAAATAATAATATTGTTGAAATGGGAGAAGAAGTAGAAGAGAATTTTTTGGTAAAATTTAATTTTTTTGGTTGGGTCCTTTCCAGGAAAATTATTTGAGAAAAGTTTTTTTTCGTAAAAATTTTTTTAATTTCCTTAATATTTTATAATGTTTTTGGTTATGTTTGGGTAAATAACATACAAGCCTTCTTCATTAAAATAAACGGTCATAACTTTGTTCACTAAAGTTAATTTTTGTTATTTTAATGTCATTCGACTCATTGTCAGATCGAAGGGCTCTTTCGAATGATAATTCGAATAATTTGCCATAAAACGAGAAAAAAGGGGGCAGCTTCCATAAAGTATTGCCTCCTAATTTTACTTAAGAATATTTTTGGCCTTTCATATTTGAAATTTTTAAAAGAATTTTAAAACATTTTTAATTAATTTAAAATTTATTTTAGGATTTAAAATCATCAATCCAAAGCAAAGAAAATTGTTTAAAGGAAGGAAGAGATGATAATTTTGAAGAAATGGATATTGGTTGATTTTACTTATTTAAAAAGGCAAAATTAAAGACATTTAAAAATTATTTTTCTTTGCTCATTTTCTAATTTTATTCTCTCAATTAATTTATTTAGAAATAAATTATAAAATTAATTATTTTTTATTATTATTTTTAACAAAAATATATCCCTCCCTTCCCTCCCTTTCTAGTTTATATAAAGGTCAAATTTCTTCGGCCAAAAAATATTCATTGTTCCAGAAACAAAAAAGAGCAACTTTATTTAAAATAACTTGTTTTTTAAAGACAGCGAAAATTAAAAAAAAGAAAAAGTTCTTTTTAATAGATTTTCTTATTGAACTTTTAAGCAATATACTAAATACTTAATTTAAAAATTATATTTTTAAGTAATGATTAATTATTATTTATTTATTTTTATTATTTTAATTCCAACAATATTTTCATTTAAAAATAATTATTGGAGAATTAAAAGAGAATGGGAAGAGGAGAAAAATAAAAATATTAAAAGTTTTTTAAGTCATCAAGAAATTTTTAGAGAAGAAAGATGGCAATTACCTCTAGAAAATAATCAAAATAATTTTGATACAAAGAGGTAATTTTGAAAAATATATTTGGGATTTGTTTGGATTTTGATAAAATTGTGGCTTATGTTGAAAAGAAATGTAAATATTTTTAAAAATTCCTAGATATCTTCTAAACGGAATTCCAGTCCATCAATATAAACAAAAATCAAAAAGGCACAATAACCCTCATAACAAAATGAATGCTGCTGGATTTTTCTACATTTCTGCTGATTTTCCAACATTTTCATTAAATGGGGAAGAAAATAACGAAAAACAAAAATTTAATGATTTAACAAATGAGGATTGTTCAATGTATCCAAATGGGACATTTAATGCCCCTTACGCCTTTACTTGTTCTGATCCAGAAAATGGGCCTCCAATTTTTGTTGTGCACGATACAGCTTTAGCTAATCGAAGTGGGCATTATGAATATCCATTAGAATTAAGTGATATAACTCCAATGTTGAGGATTTTTATGGATTTAACTAGTTATGCTACACAAAGGTTTTGAAACAGAAAAATTTTGTTTAAAATATTTCTTAAAAAGCTTTGAAAGTATGAGAGCTGAAGTAGCTTTATTAAGAAGAAAAGTTGGTTGGTTAGGTTGTGGATGGATAAATATTCCAACATTTGGAGCATTGTAAAATATAATTTTTGTACTAAATTAAAATTTTGTAGGGATTTAATTGATATTTGTGAAGATAATGATGGTTGTCCAATTTTCCCAGGCCGCCAAGTCCTCGAATTACAATTGGAGCCAGCACATGTTTTTCTAGCAATGTTGAGATTAATGCTTCGTGATCATAAAGTTTTTAGATTATTTTTTAAATTTTATTTCAATATTCATATCTTTTTTAGCCACCTTACGAGCTTCGTTTACGATTGGTCAATAATCGTAATAATAATGAAGAATTACTTTGTGTTGCTTTCCAGACTAGAATAATATTTTGAATGGAAAACTTTTATAAAAATGAGAAATTGAAATAAGAAATGTCAAAATAAAAAAAAACTTCATGAAATTTTCAATTAAAAAAATTGTAGTCACAAATTGATATTACAGACTAAAACTTTTTAGGATTTACTTTTAAATATTTCTGCAAAATATTTCTAGTTGCTTTTAAAATTAAAAATTTTTTAAAATTTAAGGGGGAAGCGCGGACGCCATCCCCCACACTCAAAAATTTAGCTGTGGGCCCGCCCCAATTCGGAGCCGCCCTGCAGGTCAACCTCGCCCTTAAGTGCAATGGGGAAGTCTCTCCACAAACGCCCTGTCTTCTTGATCACAGGGGCGCTCCAGCCAAGTAAGTTTGCGAAAGAACAAAAGCTCTTATATTAACCTAAAGTTAGTATAAGAAAAGTGTCAGTTCAAATTTTATAGTCAGAATGGATTACAAAATGCATAGTTTCTCTTTTTCTCTCTTTTCTTTTCCTTATTTAATTACAGCATTTCTTCTTTCGTGTTTCTCCCGACTTTAGGAAAAATGTGAATAAATTGTACTTTTTTTACGTTTTAATGTTGGGAATTAAATAATACAAAAAGACATAAATAAACATAAGTATTTGTGGACCTAGAAGTGGCGATTCTTTAAAAAGCTTCATTCTTGCATTGTGTCAACAATTTTTGTTTATTTATTTACAAAAATATTTGTTAATAATCAAAACAAAAATTAAAAATAAAAAAGCCAAAAATACATAAAAGTGAATTATTTAACAATAACAATTTTAATAAGTGCTCTTGTTTACTTTCTTTTAATATTGTAAAGCAAAAAAAATAACTAAAAATATTCTTCTGCGCAATTTAAAAACATGTAAAATTTGCCACCTTAAAGTTTCATTCGAGTGTGAATTGTTTTTGGAGAGTAAAAATTTGTAAAATTTTTCTAAGAAAATTTTAATATTTAAAAGCAATTCTTTAAAGTTAGTTCTTTTTATTGTACATTTTCTTAAAATTAAATACCATTTTATTTGAAATGAAATTTATAATTATTATAATATTCACATGCAAATATATCCAAGCTGATCCAATAGCATTGCCACCTCCCCATTTCCCCCATAAATATGGTGGATATGCAAATAGTGAACCACACTACCTGCACAGGTATTTTTAATTACTTCATGAATTAGTTATTCTTGTCCAGCCCAAACACATTTTTGGTGCGACAACATCCCCAACTTCAGGGAATAAATTTTGGCTCCGATTATATAGAAGGCGCACTTCAACAACCATTGGTTGAATAAATTAAAAGTCTAGAAATGTTAGTGAAAACTTTCAGTTACCCCCACACCATCTTGATGGAATCAACATTCCAACCGTGGCATCAATAGTTAACAGTGGTTCTGTTGATGACGGGGAAAACGGCATAGACCGAAACAGGATTGGAGCATTTTTAGATAAAATGTCACCACGTAATTCACCTATAGGATTTGAAAGGCCGCAAGGTCTAAATTTAATTAAATCAAAAGAATATTTTCTTTAGCCCCTACTACAATTCCACATAATTGGGAAGAAGTTGAGAGACAACAACCACCACCTTTACATCTACGGGGAAGAACTGATATCCCTAACCGTATTAACGGAAATTGGGCAATGGCAACATCAGGAGAATACGAAAGAAAATTCTTAAATAGATTTGATAAAATTTTTATATCATTTTTCTCATTAATTACTACTATTTTACTTTTAAATATTTGAATAATATAATTATTATTTTTCTCTCCTTAATAGAAAATGAAAGAATTGTTTTAATCAAAAGTATCTAGGAAGACTTGTTTATATTATTTATTTAATATATAAATATACAAATTATGTAGATTAGTGCAAAATTTGCACAAAAATAGTAAGTCGCAATCTGGTGGAATTAAATTTAGTATAGTATTTGTGTGGGGAATTATACTGGTCATAAAACTTGCTGATATAGTGAATTTATTATATTTCAAACAAAAGCTTCTCTCTCCTTCTTAAATATTTAGGTTTGTCAAGCAGTGCGAATCCGACCCGGAATGTAATTCCTAAAATTAAACTATTCAAAAATAAATGTCTAAAAAACTTACTTGTCAAGTTCAGCCATTTGAAGAAAAATATGTAAAGATTTTTCATTTTGCGCCAATGGATGACTATTAAATATTTCATTTAAAATTTAAAATATTTTACAAAATACCCTGCTACTTTGTTTAAGAATTGCTCAAGTCCTTTGCGTCGTTCTTCAATGAAAGTCTCCTCGAAGATTCCATCATCACTGCGAAATGGCAGTTGACGCTTTAACGCTTTACCTGGCAAAAGAGGAACAATAATCTGAAAAAAATAAAAAAATATAAAGATGTATTATAGTAAATTCAGTAACCTTGCTATCACGTTCAAGTTCATTCCTCAACCATTCAAAATCGGAATAACGGCGCCTAACACTCGATTCCTTTAAAATATATTAGAAAACTCGATACATTTATCTCAAAATAATAAATTAATTTAAAAGATACCTTATGTTTGAAAACAGGTAAATTAGTGCGTAAACGAACTTCGTAGTCGGTGTAGCGATTCTTACCAACTCCATGGGTTATCTTTAAATACAAATTTAGATTTTTGATTTAATCTTAACTTTTGGAATACTTAAACAAATATAAAATCAATTTTCATATCATTAAATAAAACATACAGGATTTACAACTTCAATCTCGAGAAAATTTGCTGGAGGTGCATAAGCCTCATCTAAAGTCTGCCGCTTGGCCTGAAGACGTTGTGTTGCTGCTGCGCTCATTAATTTAGTAATGGTAAATTTCTCTAAATTAAACGTTTAATATAGAAATATTAAAAGAAATATAAAAACGTAAAAACGAATAAAAATTTAAAAATAAAATAAAAATTTATTTAAATTAATAAAAATTATAAAATGGGATCTACATTAAAATATTTAAAAATTACTATAAGAATTGATTATTGAATTACTGAAGTGAAATAAAGAATAATTAAAATCAAAAAATAATCACAGATAACTGATATGCTATCAAAATTCTAAAAATATTTTTCCCACAAATCTCTAGTGTGACCAACGATCAACACGCCCCATTTCAATAGGAGTTAATTGTAAAACAGCTCCTTTAAAAGTTTAATTAATTTTTTGAAAAAATAATTTAAAATAAACAAACCAATTGCTTTGAGTATGTGCTTACGACCATTGGCTGAATTTTGATTCAGAAATTGAACAAAAATATTTCTTAAATATGCCAAATTTGTTTGAGAACTTGCCAAAGAAAGTCGACCTACAAAACAAAATAAATAATGTTAAAATATAAAAAGTAAATACTTTCTAGAATACGAATTTCCTCCTTCAGTGTTTCAATTATTTGTAAATATTGAACATCTTTTAGCAACATTGCTTGCTCAATATCACGTACCTTCATTTCTAGAAGACGAATTACATTTCTATAAATAAGATAATTAATTTCTGAATATAATGACCAAATTTTCGACCTTAATTCTCCAATTTCTTGCTCACGTTTACAAAGTTCTTGTTCATAAAATATATTTCTAGCCGCGGCACCAGCTATCAATGAACCTTCTCCTCCAAAGTGGAAAGAGACAGGACGACTAGATTTGCGTCGATTTTGCAAAGATGACTGGAAGGATGCTAAAAGTAAAGGTAAAAATATCGCAAAAATAACTTTAATTGAATAAATTTAAAACGATACAGAACAGACCAGAAAAATCCAAGTGCTCATTCGATTGTGCTAATGAGATGGGACTGCCACAGCCAACTTCGGAAGACGGAGCACCAATATTTTCTTCTGTAAAATCAGCGTCCTTACAAAGCGGAGATGAAGGTTGTTTTTGATTAGTAATGCGAAATGCTGATATTAAAATAAATTTAAGTAAACAATTTAGATATTTCACTACATTTTTTGTATGATTGAGGCTGGTGAGAAGAGAATCCTGGACTATCAAGTGCAGATGAGACAGAATATTTTCTTGTAGATTGTTGTGGAGGATCCATTGGAAGATTATGCTGTGAATCGCCAGACGGTGGATAAGGTCCATAATTTCGAGAATAAAACGCAGCCAAACTGCTCCTTAAAATAAATTATCAATTGCAAAAATTAAATGGATTTACTTTGTAAATTCAATCTCACGATCTTTTTCAGCAACAATTTCAAGCATTCGAGCACGTTGTTTTTGTAGCTCTTCTTCTAATTCAGCAACTTGAAAATTAAAACGTGTTTGTATTATTTCGGAATGGGCAAAAATCCAAGTTAAAGAAAAAAACCTTTTTCCCTAGCATTAGCAGTTAGCTGAGAATATCGCTTATTTTGATTAGTTTCTAACTCAATGATCCGTTCTCGTAATAAATCTGCTGCCTGAAATAAAATTGTAATTAAATTAATATTATTCAAAAATTATGACTTACACTCTCATGTTCCCTTTTTGTTTTCTCGTGGTTAATTTCCAAAGTACCAAGTTTGCCCTGAAGCTGCGCGATTCGTGATTTAAAAACGTTCAATTCCCGACGAGATGCCATACAAGAGTCACAATAGCCGACAACGCCTACAGCTGATAAACTAACCGAAGAAGTATTTCGACTTATTCCCGGACTGTTTGCTCCTAGAAGGCCTGGACTCAAACGATCACTAGTTATAATATGATCTTCGCTGTTAGTGAGTGATGGTGATTCGACTACCTGCTGATTAAAATGAGTTGTTGGAGAAAATTCAGAAGGCAGCACAGCTAAATTAAAGTTATTTTAAAAATTTTCAAATTCAAACCAGCAATATCCAAATCTGGACGAAGTTCTCTGATTTGCTTAAATAAAGCATTAAAATGCTCTATTAATTTATCGACATTTTCACTCTCTGGTTCTACTTCTAACGCATAATTTAACTTTTGCTTCCTTCTTTCATCTTCTAAACTCCTTATTTTTTCCAAATTCATTGCCAACTCCTTTTCCAATTCAGCACATTTTTCTCCAACACAATTGCTTTTATGCTCAGCGAAAGCATATTTTTCACTAATTTCTTGTAATCGCTTCTCCAATTGTTCAATACGAGAATCACGTTCTCTCATTTGTGCACTTTGCATTGCATATCTAGTTCTTAAAGTGGCAACTTCTTGCTCTGAATTTGCCTGTAAATTAAAATTTAAACAATAACCAAAATCAAATACCTTAACATTCTCTAACTCATCACGAATAACACAAACACTAGGTGTCAATTCAGCTTTTTTTCGAAGAGCATTTATCTCTTGTTCCAGCTTTGGTATTTCCTTTAATTGTATTTCTGCTCGTTTTAGCAAATCATCTTTTAAAGCAAGACGTTGGCTCATTTCAGTAATCTATTGAATTAAATATCACAGCCGTATTACAATTTTTTAAATAAAAAACCTGATTTTCCAGATTTTCTGAACGTCTTTTTTCTCGTCCATATTGTTGTTGCATTTCAGCTAGCATCATTCCATGCTCCGTCGTTGCTCGTTCTAATTCATTCTGCGATTCGGCTAATTGTTCTCGAAGACGACGCTGAAATAAAGTAGATCTTGACAGAAAGTATAAAAATACCAAATTCTGTGATTTTGTTTTTTGAAGTTGCTGATTAAGTTGCTCCTCAAATTTTGTAGCGCATTTCTGGGCCTCCTCTTTTGCTTCCTATAAAAAACATTTGAATAAGGAGGGAAAAACGAAAATTAAAATCTCAAAATATTAATTTAGAATTTCATATAAAGTCAAAAATGATAAAACAAACCAATAAAGTTCGTCTGTCGCGCTTAAACTCGATTTCCTTGCGCTGAAAGAAATAGGGAAAAGTTATCAAAATTTATATTAAAAATAATCATCTAAAATAAACTAACAATAAAAACATTTTAAAGCAATAATAAATTTAACCTTGTTTATTAAAGTCAAAGTTGCTATTGCATCACGTAATGACTGTAGTTGGCTTTTGGCCTAAAATAAAATTAATTATCAAATCAATAAATTAATTAACCTTTGAGGATATTTTGTCATCACTTTCTTCTTTTAACTGCGACGAAGTTTCAGCTGAACTTTCAATGTTATTCTCTTCCTGATTTCCTTCACTGTTCGTTTCGTCTGGCATTTTTTCAGAAAGAACACCCAACGCAACCTCTAAAGATTGTTTCTGTGTTTCGAGCATTTTGTATGCATTAACCGTAACTGTAAAGAATTTAAAGAATTAATTAGAAATATTAAAGTTTACCGCTAATTTTGCCCTCATAATGAACAATTTGCGCATTCTTTTGTTCCAATTCCTTTTCCAATTGAGTACATTTGGAACAAGTCATTCTTACATTAGATTATAATTGTAAATTTATGACTTAACATAAAAAGTATTTATTTGAAAAAAACAACAAAAAAGAATAAATGTATATATTTATTTAATTAATATTTATTTAAAAATTGAAGTATCCTAAAGCAATCGAAAAAAAAATGTGAAAAGCAATGGCCTTAAAATTATAAAAAAATCTAAAATAGCACAAATTATTTTCTTTTCACACAAAAATTATCAAAAATCAATAAACATGGACTAATCCATAAACAAAAACCCAAAAGAGCACATAAGTGAAAAGTCCGCCGATCAAAGAATGTCCAAACAAAAGTGATCGTTTTGTGAAAAATGAGGTCCATTGAAAACCAGCCTTATAGTCCCAAATAAGAGCCTAAAATGGTTAAATAGTAAAAACTGATCTAAATTTAAAAACCTGAATGAGGACACAAACAAAATAAAAGACAAATCCCATAATTCCGGTAAGGCCAAGAATTCCACTGGCTATTCCAGAAACGGCCGATTGACAAGTTCTGCTTTGTTCTAATACCTAAAAGTTGAATCTAAAATATTTTAAAATTAAAATTAAATTTACATAAAAATTATTTCGAACTGCAGCCTCATTAAACATTTGTTTTTGTTGTTGCTGTTGTAGCCTCGATGATTTTCTACTAGTTAATGGAGCAGCTGAAGTTGCTGGCAAAATATGTTCAGGAGATTCTGTGGAATTTTGTAATTGATTTGTTGGAATAGAATGAGGATGTTTTTTGTTTGCCGAAGATGTGGATTTTTTCTCAGACTTCATTTTAGTTTAAATTTGTTTGAACACCTCTCAAAACTAGCTTGAAAAAATATAAACTATAGAATAAAAATTCCTTTACGTGGAATAAAAGGGAAAAAACAACGGCAGTCGGTTGAGTGTAGCTAGTTGAGCGCCAAACAACGTTTATTGTCAGTCTTTATTTATTTATTGTCGGTCTTTACAAGGAGAAGTTGCGAGGTTGAATAAGAACTCGAATCCTTGGGAGTAAGTACCTATTAAATTAAAATGTGATTCATAAACCCCAGGAGAGATACCCTTGAACTAGTTTCAGGTTCAGAAGCTTTCGTATCTTCCCCTTCATCACTTGAAAACGACTCGTCAGGATCAGCTTCCCCTTCCCGACACAAGATTTCCGGCTCATCAAAAACGAATTCCTCTATTTCTTCCACGTCGTCAGCTTCTTTCCAACGCCGTATTTCATCACCGATCGCTTTTGCTAGGCGACGTTCAGTTGAATTAATCGGGGATTCAGGTATACTCCCAGAAAATTCAATAGTTAATGGTTCAATAACATTTTTTGGATTAATTCGTTCCATTTTTGGAAAGTTTTTATTTTAATACTATAAAAATTAACTACAATGTGGATTTAAAATATTAGAAACAATTAGATAAAAAAATAAAACCCAAAAAAGAATCGAACTTTTTAGAGAACCCTTTGCATCATGCCATTCCTTATTTTTGGCCTAATTTCTATTTTTGCTCATACTTCATACCAAGTACAAGTACGAGATGCGGGATGAGCATGAATTTTAGTACGAGCGTCCAAGTTCTGTATGAAAGTCATCCTTCGATTCCATCAGTCTGCAGTTAACTTGTGCTTTTTTAACAAATTTTATTTTTAATAAAAACATTTAAAAATAATTTATTAATTTCTCTAAAATAATTCCATTATTCTCTTCCAGTTCCACTAATCTCTACAATTCATTGATCACACCTTCCCAATTCCTTCTGTTAATGGCCAAACGCCGCTGGCTCATATGCTCAATTAATCACCCTTCTTTTAACACATTTTCTTTTATTTTCTTACTGCTTCTTTTATTTGTTTGTTAGTTTTTCTTTCACCTTCAACAAGAAATCTTTTAAAATGTGAGCCGTTTCTCTGATAATTAGTATTAAATTATATACAAATATTTATGTTTGTATTTTCAATTATTTTATTTATACATATAACTAATAAAATTCTTGTCAAAATTAGAACAAATACTTCAAGAAAGTAGACATAATTCAGACATTAATAGTTTGGATAAGCCCACTAACCTCCAAAAAAACAGACGCCAATTGCCGTATTAATTTTTCCTCCTCGCAAATATCGTTAAGGAGGGCTAAATAACACCTCCTTTTTTTATTGTTTTTAGATAATTATTTTTGACCAATAAAAAAATTATAGAGAGATTTTTTATATCCTACACGAAGGTTTTAAATTTTTTTTAAAATCACCCAAATATTTTAGAAATTGGAGGGTTATATTTAGAGAATTAGTAGGTTTTAGTAGGAAGTTTAAGAAAATACACTAATTTTTACTTTATTTAAACATTTTATTTTTGCAAAATAAATCTTTATTTTATTTTAGTTGTAGACTACTAATTTACAAGCAATTTAATATTATTTTTATTTAAAAAAGGATCTATTTCAAAGTTTTTATTTTTATATTATTATTATGTTACTCTTCCAACTTTTGTTTTTATTTCTTTTTTTTTCTTCCCTTCTTCAATTTAAAAGAATATTTTTTTTTTATTACCAGTTGTCCCATCATAAATACCCTATATTCTTCTTCCTCTCTAATATTATCCCATTTATTTCCTTCCATTTTCTCCTTTTCCACGTCCACTTAAATAATTTCTTCCATTTAATATTTACTTAAAATATCCGTGGATCTCGAAAGAAAAAATCAATGAAATATTAAATAAAAAGCTTAAACTTTAAATAATTATGAGTAAATAATTTTTTGTTTAAATTAAATAAATAAATGTGAATTTGCAACAAATGTTTAATAAAAAATTTTAAATTTTAAAAGTTTTAATTTTCCCTTTTTTTCTTCTCTTTTTTTAATGTCCACTAATATTTAAATGTCCAAAATTATATTTACACTTGAATTTAAAATTTATTAAATTTATTTATGGTCAAAAAAATGTTTGCCGTTTTTAAAAACTAATTTAACTAAAATATTCAATAATATAAAATTTATTTTTAAATAAATTGAAGCGATATTTTTTTAATTAAAAAAATTTTTTTAATTTTCATTAAATAATTAAATTAAAAAAGCAACATTTTCGTTAAAATAACAGTAAATACTTTCAAAATAATATAGAAAAAATTATTCTTCAATGAAATTAACCCGTTATAAGGATTTTAGGATTATTTATATGTAAACAAAAATATATATTTAGGTAAATCTACATATATTTATTCTTTCTTCTTTCTCTATTTTTAAAATTTATATTCATTTTCACGCATTTATTTCTCTAAAATGGTGAAAACAAATTTATTTATTTATTTTACTCGCGCAGGTTTTATTTTTATTATTTCTTTCTCTTTTGTGTTCGTTTGTCCATTTTGTCTGTTTTGCTCATCTTTGCTTTAAATAAATTAAAAAAAATATTTCAATAATTATATTTTTATTAATAAAATGATGATTTAAAATTCAGGGGGTTGACTTCTGATAATTATTTTAAAAAAACTCGCGCAGACTTAATTAAATTTTAATTTTTAAAGAATATTCGGCCCTATACGCAAAAGAGGGCGCCTTGATTTTTTTTCATCATTTTTTTCCTAACTTAATATAAAATAATGGTCAGTCTTTTCTTCCTCGTTCAATTCCACTCTTTTTACCTGTGGCATATTCAAATGAGAGGATAGACAAACACACACAAAAAAACGGACGAACGCAGCAGAGAAAACACGGACGAACGCACACAGACAAAACACGAATGTTTTGTCCGTCCGTGTTTTGTGCGGCTGTCTGAGTTCGTCCGAGTTTTCTGTTCGAGTCCGCCCGTGTTTTGTCTTTCTGTGTTCGTCCGTGTTTTGTCTGTCCGTATGTGTGTTTTTGTCTATACTCTCATTTGAATATGCCACAGGTAAAAAGAGTAGAATTGAACGAGGAAGAAAAGACAGACCATTATTTTATATTAAGTTAGGAAAAAATGATGAAAAAAAATCAAGGCGCCCTCTTTTGCGTATAGGGTCGAATATTCTTAAAAATATTTCTAAATTATATTTTAAATAATTTATTTATTTTTCTCTTAAAAATATTTATTTTTACCTTTTAAAATTATTTTAAAGAAAAATTTATTTTAAGAACAAAAACCAATAGAGCGAAATAATTGCACTCAATTTGTGCGCTTCTTTTATTTTAACTTTTTTTTGAAAATTTCTGGAGCAGATATTAATATTAAATATTTTTAAAAAAATAATTATTTATATTATTTTTATATGAAATTTAATATATATTTTTTCTAAAATTTATTTTAATCCTTTTATTTTCTTTTTTGTGAAACAAATTTACTTAAAACTGGCAGATTTTATCTATTTGCCATTGCCTAATTGCTTAAAACTAAATTTTCAATTTCATGCAATCCCTACTCTCCCAATTTAATTTTTCTTTTTTTTCTCTTTTTAAGCCAAATAATTTATCCAAATGTGTATAAAAATCTAAATAAAATTTCAAAATGAAATTAGGTATATTTTAAATTTTTAGAAAAACAAAAAATTAATCTTTTTTTCCTAAATTTAATTTTAAAAATTAAAAAAAACAAGATTCATTTCCAAATAAAAATTTTGAAGAAAAAATATGTACTTTTCAGTTATCCCCTCCCCCATTTCCTTTCCTTTTTTCTCCAAAATAGAATTAACTGTATTTGTATTTATCATGCTTTAAGATAGGGTTATTTAAGATCAACTCGCTAAATTAACAAAAACTCTATCGGATCAGGATTGGTTTTTATATTTTCAAATTCCGATACCTGTCACCCTTTTTTGAAAAAAAAGAAAAAAAGAAGATAAGGGCGAGCAATGGAAAAGTACCGAAAAAAAATATTCCTTCTTTTCTTTTTTTGTATTTGATATTTATTTTATTTCTGCTAATTAACAAATTGTTTTTTTAAATTTGCAACTTTATTCTCAAAATAAAAGAAAATACCAAATAATATTCTTCATTTCTTTTAATAAAAACTTTTGTCACAATTGTGAAAATTTTACTAATAAAAAAATAAAAACAAAGCAACGCCAAAAAGGCAATAAAATAAAAACAAAAAATAATAAAATTCCCCCTACTTTTTTTATTTTCTCAATCCAATCACGGAAAAAGCCGACAACAATATAAAGAAATTTTTGTGAAGAAAAAAGTATTAAAAAATAAGAAAATAACACTCACAAAAATACTTAAAAAACAGTTTTGCCAAAAACTAATAAAAATAATTTACTATTTTTATTTTTTTACATTCATCAATTTCCCAAAACAATTGAAATTTTTCTGGTTTTTATTCTTTTTCGTTTTTTTGTTAAAATTTTCGAGATTGATTAATTACTGAGGATATAAAAAATTAATTAATTAATTGTTATTTCTACTTAAAGAATTTTAAAAGTGTTCTCATTTTCTATTTAAAAAAATATTACAACAACAACAAATCCTTCCTTCCTAGTAAAAAATCTTAAAGAAAAAAATATTTTCCTTTGATTATTTTTGTTTATTTTTTTTTCTAGTTATTTTCACACCATTCTTTCCTTCTTCAAACTCTTTTTTTCTTTTTAAAGTCCTTAAAAACATTCTTCTTTTTATTAGTTTTTAATTAATTGGTTATATCTTTTGTGGAAATTTATTTTAATTATTTGATAGAATTACCTCTTTTGCTTCAACTTTGAAATAATAACAGAAACTCTTCGAGAATTTCTCTACAATCAAAATATACCTAAATCATAAATGTTTTTTCAATTCAAAAATTTTTCTAATTTTTAAAAATCTTTCCATATATTTACATTTTATAAACTTGTCCAAATATCCAACAAAAAATAACCAATCCCTTGAGAGAATAATTTGTGGAAAAGAAAATTGCAGCGGTTTTAGCTCTTTCCGCTTATGTGGAAATGGGTGGTGGTGGTTGTTATTTTTATATATTTTCTTTATTGATACTTTGGAGAAAATTTTTGAAGTTTTTTTTGAATTTATGGGTGGTCAAACCATCCATTTTTAAACCTCTAAATAACTCTTTTAATTATATCCCTCTTTACATTCGTTTTTCAATACAAAACTCATCCATTTCCTTTATTTGTTAAAGAAATTTTTTTAACTTTTAATGTAGATTTTAAATTAATTTAAAAAATGAAGTCATCCACAGCTGGTCTCGAAAAACGAAAGCAATCAGCTAAAAGTATGTCTGCAAAAAGTGCTCCACCAAAAACATCAACAGCAAGTAGTCATGAAATGGCCCCATTTTTTTCAATATTTTATCGAGGAATTTCTTCAAAAATTAATAGATCGGCTAGTAAGATTGATTTAGATGGACAGAATGAACAAATTGGTGTTACAAGCAGAGTTTAGGAATATTAAAAAACAAAAACAAAAATTATTCTATTTAAAGAAATTTGTTTCGACTTCTTCTGCCGATAAACCCCCAATACCTTCAGCATTAAAAGGAGCTAAAGGAAATAATGTTGCCGATGCAGCAATACATAGAAGAGGTACTGCTCCATCTAGTGGACGATCTAAATCTACTGTTGAATTGGCTAAAGAAAAGGCAGCAGCCGAGGGGAAAACTTGGAGAGAGAATGTTGAATCGAGTAAATAAATTCAAATAAATAATTATTTGTATTTTTTAGCAGGGTCACCAGTTAGTGTAATTAAAAGTACTATTGGTATTAGTTCAGCACCAACATCTCCACAACGCCAGAGACGATGGTAATTTTTTGAAGAATTTTCTTTAAAAAAACTTTTGTTTAAAAATTCACAAAATATTCTTTTTAGGCCATTTAATATAAGGGGATCCAAAGCTCAATCTCAAGAACCAACACCATTCCCAGTTTCACAACAACAAAATGGGTTTCCTTCTAATAAAGCCACAACAACAACATCTTCACAACCAACATTATTAGATAATCAACAATCATCAGAATTACCTCCTCCAGTCCCTATTAGGCGAAAACAAGGGCAACAGGAAGAATTGGTAAAATTAAAATTAATAATTTTAATAGCCCCCTTTTAATAGCCCCAATCTTCACAAATTCAACAACAACAACAACAACAAGAAGCAACTCCTTTTATCACTCCAAAAACATCTAACACAACAACAACATTTACTACTCGTCCCCCTCCTCTTCCAAAAATTTCCTTCGATCGTCTTCCCCCACCTTCTTTACCTTTCGCTGAAAAACCCCCATTATCCCCTTCTAATTCCTCACTTCCAATGTCTTTTGTGCAAAGAATTAAATTACACAAAGGTGTTAGAACTGGTAAATTACCTGTAGATGCACTTAAACAACAAACACCTGGATTTGAAACTGGAAGAGGTTTAAGAGTTATATTTAATAAATGACTAAAAATATATTCTTTCCTTTCCTTCAATATTGAGGTAATGATTAAAAGAAAAAATGATTCAACATTTTCTTTTTCTTTTTATTTATTTCAATCCCATTAATAGATTGAAAAATGATTCGACAATAAAAAAAAGAAAATAAAAAATATTCTAAGTTGTTTTTAATGCTTTTCTTTATATTTTCATCTTTTCACTTTCCACGTAAAATTAAAAAAAAATATTTTAAGATTTTAGATAAAAATATTTAAAAAATTTTTATAAAAAATAAAAATAATTTTATTAAATCATTCCTTTTTTACAAATAATTTAAATTTCTTTTAAAGTTTAAACTTCAATTACTTTTAGAAAATTATTATTAATTTTTGGGTCTCCACTCAAATTTATTTATTCAATTAACCAATACTCTTTTTCACTTTCGCTTCCATCCATTTATTTACCTCAAAATGAGCGAAAATGCTTTTCCTTAAAAACATTTTTATTTATTTTCCTTTTTCACTCCATTTATTCTCTCAAGTATTTTTTAGCTTTAAAATAGTAATTGAGGTAAATAAAATAATAAATAAATAAATTCCTTTAGTGACACATTAAATTAGGAAAATTAAACTAGAAAATTTAGCCATTAAAATAATTTTAAAAAATTTAGGAGAAAGATTTTTCGCTTCAAGGAGAACATCCAAAAAAGCAATGCCTGGGGCGGGTATTTATATGTCTGCTGATGCAATACACGAATTACGTAGTGATCCAGATTATATAGTTGAGGCATTAATGGCTATTGGGGATGAACAACCTAAAGTTGCTAGGTAAATAAATAAGAAATTATGTTGGAAAGTAACAAAATATAAAATTATTTTTTTGGGGGTTTTCCCACAATTTTATTTATTCAATTAACACCATTTTAAAATCTTTTATTTTAATTAATTCATTAAAATAAAATATTTATCCCTATAAAATAAATTTCCTTTACAAATTTAATTAAAAATAAATTAAAGATCAACACCTAAACATGCCTATGTTTCTCAAGATATTAAAAGAGTAAATGACAGATTATCTCGTAATTGTATTTATAAATCTGATGTTTATGAAAAAATGGTAAAATTTTAAAATAAATTTTTTAATTTTTTAAATAAAAAGGTAAATGACTCTTTATTGGTTTGTGATATGTTACAAGACCATCTAGATAATGTTATTAGTGGAGTTAGAGCTAAATCGCCAACAGCTTTATCCTCTCCTTTTACAACGCCCCCAGGAAGGTATTTTAAAAGAAATATTTTTTAATAATTTAATTATTTTAGTCCATTTATGACTCGTTCAACTTCTTTACATTTTCCTGGTTCTACAGCCCCAATTAATCGAGTAACTATTTCTGTTAGGTATTTAAAACAAATTTAAAATAAAATTTACTTTTTTATTTTCTTTTTTTTAGTCCAATGGCACAACAAGCAATAAATCATCGTTTACCTTCACCCTCAAAAGGAATTAATAATATTTCTCGTTCTGTTTCTCCACAACAACAAATTATCTCTTCTAATAACAAAAATATATTAACAACAAATTCAACTTCATATTCACTAAGTCCATCTAAACAACAACCTCCACCTTTACTTCGAGTAACACAAGCCTCGTTTAGAGGTATTTTAATTTATTAAAAGTTTAATAAAAGATTATTTCGTTCAAATAAAAGTTGAGTACCGTAAATGATTAAATAATTACCTGGGTAATTATTGTTTCAATCCCTTGCTAGAGGAGGTAATTAATAGGGAGATGTTGAATTTGAGGTAGATACCAATGGACGAAATTGATTTATCAAAGTCTTGGGATTAAAATAAAAAAGAATTATCGAATTTTGTTAAGGTTGAAGCGAGATATGGTAAAAACAAAAGTGGACGGAAAAAGTTGCCGCACCCTTTATTTTGATATAAATTTTTAAACTGTTCCTTTAATTAAAATTGTTAATGATTTTTAAAAATATTTTTAAAATTATCATACAAAAAATAGGGAGTAATTATTAAAGATTGTAATTATTTGGGAGGAGATAATTATTCGAGCATTTACGGTATATCTCCCTATTTATTATAGAAGATTTCTGTTCTGAGGGACAGAAAACTTTGATTTCTTTAACTTTCTTCTAGCCTTCATTAAAATTAAAAATCCAATCTCTATCAATATTTAATTAATATTTATTTTAAGGAAGTATACCTTCTCAAAATAACCATTTTCCTACTACAACTACAAGTAATGGCCCAAGAATTTCTGAAAAACATTTACATTTTGTTTGAATGCAAAAAAACATTTCTACGGGTATTTTTGGTTGTTTTAATTAATTAAATATATTTTTATTTTAAATAAAACCCTCAATTAATTGTATAAATACATAAATATATTTTAATAAAATATTTGTTTATTTTTTTGTCATTAATTTATCCTTAGCTTCTTTTAATAATTAAAATATTAATTATAAAATATTTATTTAAACAAATATATACAAAGAAAATAATAATTAATAAAATAGAGGTGAGATAAATTAAAGGTTTAGACAAAAAATGCTTTTTTTTGGTATTTTTGGTTATTAAAAACATATTTATGAAAAAGAGATACACAAATACATATAATTTTTTAATAAAATTTTTCTCCTTTCGAAGGTGGGAGAATTATTTTTATATTATTTTAAATATCACAATTAAAATACCTACATAGACATCCAAATCCTCCTTACAAAGGGTGAATATTTGGAAAGTTTGGAAGCCCTCTTCCATATCCCTTTCCTTCGGGTCAACCAACTAACCCCCCCCCCCTGAAAGATTCCACATTTTAAAGAAGAAAAGGATTTTTAGTGAGCAAAGAAAAAGTTTTAAATAATTATTTAATTTCAACGGAATGTGTTTACATTTTTTAGGTATTTTTAAATTTTAATAGCTCATAACGGCTTCTTTATATTCCGACCCATCACAAGTAAATAATTCATCCAATTTCCAATGTAATGTTTCAAATGTTGGCCTTTTTTCTGGATCTTTATGCCAACATCTTAATTTATTTATTTTTTGAAATTTAAAATTTATTTTTACTGTAGCATAATTTCATATAAAATTGCTGGACAGTTTGGAGGTATAGGCATTCTATATCCTTCCTCTACTTTATGCAAAACTTCCGTATTGCTCATTCCAGGATATGGAATACGGCCAAAAGTGACTAATTCTGTTAACTAAAAATTATTTTTTTAATTCAAAATTCAATCATTTCCTTACCAAAATACCAAAAGACCAAACATCCGATTTAACAGTGAATTTATTGTGAGTAGCTGCTTCTGGTGCTGTCCACTAGAAAATAATTTTATATTTTTTTAAATTATTTTTAATAATTACTTTAATTGGAAATCTAGCCCCTTCTCGCGCCTCATATTCATTTTCCCGTATTAAACGAGCTAAACCAAAATCTGCAATTTTAACAACAAATGGATGTGAAATTAAAATATTTCTTGCAGCCAAATCTCTATGAATGAAATTCTTTTCTTCCAAATAACTCATTCCAAAAGCTATTTGTGCAGAAACATCAACTAATTGATGTATATTACATTTTCTACCATTTCCTTGCAGAAAATGAAGTAAATTTTCTAAAAAAAAATTTTAAAGGAAATATTTTAAATAAACACACCTTGCATTAATTCAGTAACAATTAAAAAAGGTTCTTCTCTTGTACAAACAGCATATAATTGTAATAATTTTGGATGTCTTAATCTTTTCATTATTTGTGCCTTTTTTGTAAATAAAAGATTTAAAATAATCCCAAAAACAAAATACTTCAGTCAAAAAATCATCAACACAAGCAGTTGAACCCGGTTTTAATTTTTTAACAGCAACGGGGGTTGAAGATTTCCATCTTGCTTCCCAAACCTTTTTTTAAATTCTCAAAATATTTTTCTTATTAATTATTTTTACTTCTCCAAATTGTCCAGCCCCAATTTGATGAATTAATCTTAAACTACGCCTATCAATCTCCCATTGATCATCGTGTGTAAATGTTGAAGTAATTGGGGTCTAAATAAATTTTAAACTAAATATTTTTTTTATTTTTTTCCCTTCCTCACTTCAACTTTTAATGCCGGTTTTGTTAAAACAACACATAATCCATCTTTTAAAAATTAAAAAAATTATTATTTTTTTAAATGTTTTTTCTTTTTATTTACCAGCATCTTCTTGGTAATGTTGTACTAATTCTTGAAGTGTTGCAAATGCAACACGACGGGCAATAAAGAATCCTAAAAATTAATTTTTAAATATTTTTAAACAAAATTAAAGTTACCTCCATTATCTAATTGACGAATTCTGTAATGTTTAACAATTCCATCATCGAGGACTTTAATTAATTTAATTTAATATTTAAAAATCTCAATTTTAACCAGAAAGGGAAAATTCATCTTTTCTTGATTCAGAATCTCTAACAAGAAAAGAGCCATGTTCATTAACGGGAAGCAACAAAAGTTTTTCTGATTCAATTCGACGTAATTTACCAAAATACCAACTAATTTAAATTAAATTTTACTAAAAAATATTATTTTTTACGGTTGTGCATCTATTGTTTTATCTCTAGCAACATAATTAGCTGGAATATATCCACATTTACCAGAATTTAAACTTCTAAAAATTAAATATTTATAAATTTATGCATAAATAACTACCTAGCATACCACCAATCCCCTTCCATACTGTTAAGTATTTCTAATGAATCTCCACGTTTAAAATTTAAATCGTCTTCTGTTCTAGCATCTATTAAAAATAGTAATTATTTTTAATTAAACACCTTACTATAGTATATCTGAAATAAAATTCAGTCACCCTCTTACTTATTAAATACCATAAATGCTGAAATAAAGCCCCTCTCTCAAATAATTACCCCCTTCAGAGAGAGGTTGAAAAAATAATTACACTGGTGATTATTTTAGCAAATACGGATTATATGTACATAAGTACTTAGAAAGTAAAATAAATACAATTTTTAAGTTTCTTAAAAAATATTTTATTTATTTAGTTATGGATTCTACTTCGCATCTTAAGATTGTGTCTCCGATCTTGGTATTTTTTGAGCAATAGTCAACTTCTAAGGCTTTGCCACAACCACCCTAAGTTCACTTTTCGAATATTACAGAGTTTATTAAACAAAATTTAATTAGAACTTCATTTCAGATATTCCAAAAAATTAATTTTTTACAATAATCAAAAAGTGCAACAAATAAATTATTAATTCCTCCCCCAATATCATTTTGTTGTTTTTGTGTAGTCAAAGGAGTTGTTGTAATATTTTTATTTTTTTGAGTAATATAACAATTTGTATTATTACTATTTTGGCTAATACTTTTTGTAGTAGAACTTCCATAACCTCCCCCTCCATTACTTAAAATTGTTGAAGAAGGGGAACTATTACTTTTAACAGATTTAAGTATTGCATTTGGATGTGTTGGAGAAGAAGAAGAGGAAAAAGAAGAAGAATTAAGTATTTGTTTTCCTAAACAAATTTTGATTTTAAATTTTTTAAATTTAAAAATCAAACCAAGTTCGTGAATAGCAAAATGTTTTTGTAATAAAAGTGCTGGGGGTGGAGGAGGAGGTATTCCTTTAATAAAAGGAAGTGGCTGTCTTCTTTCTATTAAATTATTATTTCTTCTAATATTATTATTATTATCTTTTCCACAACAACTTAAACAATTTCCCATAATTATTTAAAGGGAGGAATTCTAATTTTAATTATAACGGAAGTTGATGAAAATAAATAATTAATATTTTAAACTGAATATTTTTCTAAAAAATTATTTAATTAATTTATATATATTTACAATAATTTAGGTATTTAAAAAACAAGATTACCTTTATTTAATTAAGAATAATTAAAAACTAATTTTGGGGGCAAATCATCCCCCCCCCTCTCCTTTATTTTATCCTTTATTTAATAAAAGAAAATATTTAAAAAATATTTGAGAGAAAAATAACGGCGCAATCGTGCTATATTAAAAAAAGTTTTGTGTACTAGAATGTTTGCAGCTGATTAAGAAGAAAATTAAACAAAAATATGAATGATTGAATAAATAAAAAGGGATAATTAAATAAATAATTTAATAATTATGTTAATAAATAAATAAACAATTTAATTATAAAAAATAAAATATTTTTAAAAAATTTTAATAAAAAATTTTTATTTAAATATACTACTGAATACTTCCTTTAATTTATTATTAAAGAATAAAAAGATTTAATAAACTAATATTTATTTATAAATAAATTACGCCATTTTCCTTTCAAGATTTAATTTTTTGATTAAAAGGGAAAACAAAATAAATAAAAAAATGTTTTAAATAAATATATTTATTTAAATATATATTTCTTTTAAAAAATTAAAGTTTAGCTAATAATGTTACTAACAAAGGATAAAATAAATCCGTGAGAGAGTAATAAATTATCTAATAAATATACAAAAGAAATAAAGAAAAATCTGTGAGAAAATATTTATTTTTTACTTAATAATTTGAGTAAATTAGCGGGACTTTAAGTAGTTTTTGCTTTTACAAAAAAAAATATATAATATTTTTTGTATTAGCAAACCGGTCGGTTAGTAGTTTATATGTATTTTTAATGATTTATATTGAAAAAGAGAGGAGGTTCTCTAAAAATTCGATATTAAAAATTAATTTTTAAATTTATTTTGTAATTAAAAATTATTTTACAAAATTAAAAAATAAATAATAAATTTAAATAAATTTATTTATTTAATTGTGATCTCCAAATGGTTTTTAGTCGGATTTTATTTTTAAATAGACTGTTTTGGATGAATGAAATAATATTAAACAAAAATATTTTCTTCTTCCACTTTATACAAAATGTGAAAAACCAAAAAATATTCTTCTCTATTTCTCCCGGTTCTTCAATTAAAATGACGAGAAGAGCAACAGAATTTTGTGTTTTGAAGAGAGAGGAGAAGGAAAAAAAGAAAAATGAGCTACTAAATAGTTGTTGCTACTAATAAATAAATAAATATACTTCTTCTTCTTCTACTAAACAACCGATCATTGTCGCCCTAGCTGTTGGCGACGATAAATACAAGAAAATATTTATTTATAGAAAAGTGTGAAAATAAAAATTGTTTTTTAAAATTAAATAAATTTTTAAAAATTATTTAGAAAAGGGATAATGAGAATTTAAAGGAATTGAGGAGGGATTGGAGTGGGTTTGGAATGGAGAGATTTGTTTCTGTTCGGTTTGGTAACTTGGCCCGAAAACTAACAAATTTGTGACATAAAACGTGTTGTATGTAGGTTGGTATAGTTTATGTGAAATTGAAACATTTATTTACTTAATTTTAAATAATTTTATTTAAATATGTATAACTTATTTAATTTTTAGAATAAATATAAATTTAAAATTCTAAAAATAACTGAAGCGAAATAAAAAAAAGTACACATCTATCTATCTATTTATATTTATTTATTTATTAGTGCGAAATTTTCGATCAAACTGCGCCAATGGAGATGATCCTTTTACAATCGACTGACCTATGAAAATTAATGAAGAGAAATTAGTGGGGGAAATAAATTAAAGAAAAAGAGAGATTTAGAGAAGGAATCAATAAATTAAAAAATTAAAATTAAATATTTAAATTTAAAAAAATTTTTTAAAAATAAGTAGTTGACACAAAAATAAAAAATAAAATAAATCCAAATTAAATTGCCGCAACAATTTTAGTTGAGGATTTTTTATATTTATTTATAAATAGATCCATTTTATTCTCATCATGTTACCAACGCTTAGCCTAATTTTAAAAAATTGCTCTTTACTAATCGCCCAAGGTCATTAAAATTGGATACTGATGTGAACATTTTAAAGAGAGAAGAGTGGAAGTTTTAATATATGTATGTACATATTTAAAAAAAAAAATTTACTAGCTGGATTTTAAAATAAATAAGGAAATGTGTAATCAAAGATAGATTTAAAGAGTAAATTAATAAATATTTATATACAAATTAATTAAAAAAATTTATTTTAATAAAGAAATACTTTTTTCTTTGAAATATTTAATAAATATTTTACTAACTTCATAAATAATTAAAATCACAAACTTGTTAAACAAAAAATAATTAGGATAAAAAATAATGTTACTATGTATAATATTCCTCTTTTTTTAATTTTGTAACTAACATTAAATATATTTATTTATTTTTGTTACATTTCTTATACATATTTAATATTTAGGGAAATTTAATCTTTTATATACATAATTTAAAAAAAGTATTAAAACTTCGTTTTAGTAAAATATTTTTTAATTTTTTTATAATTATTTATTTCAGTTTCTTTAAATATTTTTTAAAATTATTATTCCTTTTCTTTTTAATTTTTTTTATTTTCACTTTTTCCAAAATTATTTTTTTTATTAATTAATCGAATTTAAAAAATAAAAAATAAAGTAAGGCAGCCTTATGTCACTTATTGTCACCCATTGCTTAAATCTATAAAAGATGAAAAAGAAAATTTTGGAGGAAAAGCTTAAAAAGAGAAAAAAGAGGGAGAGAAATACATAGGCTCCCATACAAAATACCGAATTCTTAAAATATGGAATCTCAAAATCGCGAATCGGCTAAAAAAGCTCAAAATATGGAATCTCAAAATATCGAATCTCAAAATATGGAATAGGCAAAAAAAGCTCAAAATATCGAAAAATATCGACAATGCGGCAAAGGCCAGTTGAGTCTGAACAAAGTTGTGACCAACTTCTTCGTAAAAAAATTTTAAAAATAAGAGAAAGTATTTTTCTAAGGTAAAAAAATGTGCTGATTACGAATCTCAGCTCGGATTTTGAAAAAGTCGAATCCCGGACCCGAACCGAATTTCGAATCCCGAACCGAATTTCGAGTTTCCGAATGATAGCTCATCTGAAAGAGCACGTCGAGCTGCATCGAATGATACCAAAATCAATGAAATCCGACCTGATTGGACTGAGTTACAGATCCCTGAATAATCAGAAAAAGACCTGCAGCGGCACTCAAACGGCCCTTTTCGTTTTTAAAAAATTCGACATTTTTAACTACTTTTTAGCCGATTCGGTATTTTGAGCTTTTTTGGCCGATTCGCGATTTTGAGATTCGATATTTTAAGATTCCATATTTTGAGCTTTTTTGGCCGATTCCATATTTTGAGATATTTTTACCGATTCGCGATTTTGAGCTTTTTTAGCCTATTCGCGATTTTGAGAATTCGGTATTTTGTGCGGGCACGAATACATATATACACACACAATCGTTAAATATGTACTACATACTTCTACCTATATTTTCCATATTTTCTATATGTTTTGTCGAGAGCGTAAAACGAGAAAGACATGCTTTACATAATTTTTTGGAAGACGAATGTTGGTGACTTTTTTTGGGAGTTTAACAAAAATAAATATTTTTGTGAATGTTGATTATTTTTTTATTAAATTTTAATTAAATTTATCAACTATTAAATACATACAATTTAATTTTTACTAAATTTTTCCTAAAAAGTAAATTTTAATTATTTTCCCTTTTAAATAAATATATAAATTACCCTTTTCCTTTACTCAAAAGCTTTTTCCGAAGCGCAATAATATTATTAGAATTGTACAAATACTGGATGGCACAAAATGGTTTCCTCTTAAAAATTGGCATACTACATAGTTAATAGAAATATTTTTATCCATCCTCATTTTGTTTTTCTTCCTTATTTTTTTAACAAATATTTTTTTATTACAAATTTATAATAAATATTTTTTATTTTATTTAAATATTTAAAAAAATAAACAATTCCATTATTGACTATATTTTCAATTAACATCAAATTTTATCTATTAATAAAAAAATACCTAAATACTTTTTTTCAATATTTTTTTCTTATTTTGATAATTTATTTTTTTAGTTTAAATAAATTAAATGCGTCGTCGAAGACGTACTTATTATTTTTAATTAATTAGTTTCGATTTATTTTAAACAATAAAAATATTTAAAAATGAATTTATTAATTTATTTAATATTTTTTCTGTTAATTTTTGAAAAATTTGAATGTAGAGAACAACAAAGAGAAAGAAAATTATTACATTTGGGAATTGAAAATGTTTTTAAAAAAATAATTTATTTTAAAAAATTAATTTATTTAAAGGATCCAAATGTCCAATTTCAATGTAAAGGGGCATTAGGTGATTATGCAGCCTGTTTATGTAATAATAATGTTAAAGAAGTTGCTTGTATTAATGCACAATTTGTTGATACAGCAATATTTCAATATATGCTTGGACATTATAAGTAAAAATAAATTAAATTAAATTAATGATTGGAAATGTGATTTGGTTTTTTTCAAATAAGATACATAACAATCCTTATCCCTACAATGACTGGATTAATAATAGTGAATTATGAACTTTGAAACACTTATCGGGAAATTTGAAGATAAAATTCTCTCTCTCCTATCAGCAAAATTATCAAAAAATATATGGGAAGTTAAAAAATATTAAATTTACTTATAATATAATTATAGCGGCAATCCCGGAGAATAGGGGTTTCTTCGAAAAAAAAGTTTAAAAATAAGAGAAAGGATTTTTCTAGGGTAAAAAAATGTGCTGATTACGAATCTGAGCTCGGATTCTGAAAAAGTCGTACCCGGACCCGAATATAGGTCCTACAAAATCGAAAAACCATAGGGGGGACCAAGCTGATTCTGGGGTGAAAAGTTCGAATATGCAAATAATAGCTCATTCAAAAGAGCTCGACGAGCTGAGTCGAATGACACCAAAATCACCGTGATTGAAAAAGATCTGGCGAAGTTATGATACCAAAATCAAACAACGTAAACCTATGTTTTTTGTGTTGTAACTTTGTCTGTTCTTGTTCATTCACGGTAATTTTGGTGTCATTCGACTCAGCTCGTCGAGCTCTTTCGAATGAGCTATTATTTGACCAATTTGCGCTCTGAGAAAATTTTCCCAAAATGTCGAATGTCCGAATTCGGGTTCGGGATTCGACTTTTTCAAAATCCGAGTTCAGATTCGTAATCAGCATATTTTTTTACCCTAGAAAAATCCTTTTTCTTATTTTTAAACTTTTTTTTCGAAGAAACCCCTATTCTCCGGGATTGCCATTATAGCGATATAGAACAATTAACTTTTCATGGAAATAATTTCCAAGACCTTCCAGATGGTTCTCTTTTTGGACCTGCAATACTTGAAAATTTGCGAGTTTTAAATATTTCTGCAAATGTTAGTTGAGAAAATAAAATAATTATTTATTTTTATTTATTTTTAAGTATATCGTTAATTTACATCGAAATGCTTTATCTGGATGTCCAAATATTGAAATACTTGATTTAAGCAACAATGAGGTTTTTATAAGGGAAATTTACAAAAAAAAAATTAATCAAAAGATTCTCTCATTTTTATCGTAGTAATTGGGAAAAGTAAAAGGAAAGGAATTAAGTCTTTAAAAGAAATATTAATTATTTTAAATTATTTCATAATTTTAAATTAAAATCTTTTTTTAGATTGTCCTAAGTGAAGAAAATATTAATTTTCTTGATCATACTCCTCGATTAAAAAAAGTTTTTATTTTATATATTTTTTTAATTATAATTACATTTTTAAAAGCTTTATTTGAGAAGAGCATTTACTACTCCCTTAAATAAAAGCAACCAATTTAATTTATTAATTCGTCTTCTAGAAAAAGCACAATTAAAGAGATTGGAAGTTTTGGATTTAAGTTATAATTATTTTAATAATATTCCCTTTAATTTGCCATGTTCTTTACCTTCTTTAAGACATTTGGATTTACGGTTAGTTTTTTAGAAAAATTAAAATTATTTTGGGATTTGTTTTTAATATAGAAAAGGTTTGTCGGGTACAGAAGGGTATCCACTTTAAGCCGAACCATTTTTTGATCCTCAAGGACTGTCCTACAATATTTTTAATTTAAAAATAATATTTAATTAATTTTATTTTTTTAGTCAAAATATGTTAAAAACTTTATCTCTAAACATTTCTTGTCTTCCAAGAATTTCTAAAATTAATTTAGAAAGGTAATTTATTTAATTAAAAATTATAGAATAATTTTTTTTAGAAATTATTTTCATTTTTTGGATTCAGAATTTCAAACATTTGGGGAACAATTAAATAAAAATAATGCTTTAACACAATTACAACTTAAAAATAATTTTTATTGTGACTGTAATTCAAATATTTGGATTAAATGGATTAGAGAACATTCGAATATGGTCGGTGATTATTTAATTAAAATTTAAAGATTTAATTATTATATTAGGTCTTTTTTGTCATTTTCCTACAAAAAAGTTTCTATCTCAAGTTAATTTTCTCAATTCTATTTTTTTACTTCTAAATAGAAAATTTAAATATTTTTTAAATAAAAATAGATTGACGATTACCGAGCACTTATCTGTTCACGTTCTTCTCCTCCAAAATTTACCGGTACAAGATTAAGTGAAGTGTCTGTTGAATTATTGGATTGTCAGACAGATTTATATGCTACAGGAAGAGAATTTAAAAATAATTTTGGATTTTTAATTATTTTTATTTTATTTTTAATTAATTATTTTTGTCAAAAAATATTTCCAAAATTTTAAAAAATTAAATCAAAATTTATTTTCGATAATTATTTTGATTTAAATTTTATTGAATTATTTTGGGATTTTTTTCTGGATTTCCATCGTCTATCTTACCCCTTAAATAAATATTTGGGTAAGACGAAGCTTAAAAATGTAAATATTGCCTATTATATATTATCAGTGCTGGGTATTTGCAGTTTCAGAACTTCGAATTTATCTTCCAAAGCCACCATACCCAGCACTCTAACCTACATAACTTAATTACCCGGTATATTATTACTTTTTTTATATTTAATTTCAAAATTTGCTGTTTTATTTAAAACTTTATTTTCAATTTAAAATTATTTTAAAAATTATTATATTTTATTTTTTATTTTAAATTCAAGTAATTATTAACGCTACAACAGTAACTATTAAGTATATTTAAGTACTTTTAATTAATTCAAAATTTATATATTAATTCTTTTTTAAATTTATTTAAAAGTAATTCTTTTTAAATAAATTTTAATAAAAAAATCAAAAAAATTTTCTTTAAAATTAAAAATTTTCTCAATTTTTGTTGAAAGCTTTCTATAAATAAATAAAAAATCTGAACAGTTACATATTAAATATTATAATTGGCTTTTTAAATATTAAAAAAAAATAATACAAAAATCTAAAATTACTTTTATAATTTTGTCCTTTTCTTTAGAAATTTATTTAAAAGTAATTTTTATAGAAAATATTTTTGGCAGACAAAAAATTTTTGTTCCAAAAGCTTTCCAACTGTTTTTCTTTTTTATATTCCAACAAAATTATTAAAATTCAAATAAATTTTTGAAAAAAAATTTCTTTTTTTATTCTAAAATATTTTTGTGTAGATTTTTTCTTTAAAAAATTTTTGACTAAAAGAAAATCTTTTTTATTTATTAAATATTCTTTTATTTATTTTTTGGGTTTCAAATTTGTTATTCTTTTATTTTTCTTTCCTTGGCAACAAAAAATTGGAAAAATATATTTTTAAAATTATTATTATTTTGTACTTTATTTATTTATTTATTTATTTATTTATTTATTTACGCCTTGATGGCGCGAGTCAAGTCAAAAAACAATAAAAAACGAAATCAAGTAAAAAAAATATATATAAAAACAAAATCATGTCAATAAATTAAAAAACAAAAAGAATGTAAATAAATAGTATATAAAAAAAATTATAAGTATAAATTTAAATTTAACTTAATTCAGCCTCCGAATTGCGGGAAAAATTAATATGTGTTATGTTTTTTGCGAAATTTTTGTAATCTAATTTTCTAAAGTATGCTGGTAGTTTATTATAATACCTTATAGTCCTTACAAAAAATGAATTATGTCTAGTAATTGAGGTGCATGCTTTATGTGATATTTTGTTTTCGTCCCCCCTTGTTTTAGATGGAATGATGAAATAGGGGTTATTTATATTTATTGGGCTTAATCCTATGCAATGCTTGTGAAAGATTTTAAGATCTGTTATAATTCTTCTATTCTCTAAAGAATCTATATGATATAATCTGAGGAGTTCAGAGTAGTTAGGGATTTGTTCATTAAGTTTTATATTATGCTTGCGGTTATATACCATCCTTACGAAATCTTTTTGAATCTTTTCTATTTTGTTAATGTATTTTTTATAGTAAGGATTCCAGACAGGAGAACTAAATTCCAATATACTTCTTACATATGTGGTGAACATATTAATTAAGAATCTTTCATCATTAGATTTTAAGGACCTAAGAATTGTATAACTAATTCTCCTAGCTTTATTACAAATAATGTCGATATGATTATGGAATTTTAACTCATGGTCAAAGAAAATACCCAAATCCCTTACAGTTTGATTTCTACCAATTTCTGTTATGTGTGTATCTTCTATTGTATAAATGGTGCGAGGATTTTTAGTGCCTAGATGTAATATATTACATTTCTTTATAGCTATATCCAATCCGTTTATTTCTGTGTATTCGGAAAATTTTTCAATAAATTCTTGCAAAGGGTTTGAATTGACTGGATTGTCTTTGAAAATGTAATACGCCTTAATATCATCTACATATAGTTTAACAGTTACATTTTCTGTATAACAGAATTCAGTTAAATCGTGTATATAATATAAAAACAATATGGGACCAAGTAGGGAGCCTTGCGGTACTCCGCTTTTTATGAGCCTTTTTTCAGAAAAGGATTCATGGATTTTTACAGAGAAAGTTCTATTGCTTAAATAATCTTTGAGCCATTTAGTTAGAGTATCTGGAATATTTAATGATTTTAATTTACTTAATAATCTTTCGTGGGATATGGTGTCAAATGCTTTTGACAGATCGAAGTAGATTATATCTACGGATTTTTTATTTTCTAATGCCATTGTAAGATCATCCATAACTTCTAGAAGTTGGGTTGTTACGGATCTACCCATATGGTATCCATGTTGCTCTTGTGGAAAAATTCTGTTTTTCCGGGCATGTTCAACTAATTTAGAGGCTAATATTTTTTCTAAAATTTTGGCAGTTGAGCAGAGGAGAGAGATTGGTCTAAAGTCGTTAGATTTTTTAGCTTTTGGAATCTTTTGAATTGGAACGATTATACTTTCTTTCCAGAGATCAGGTACCTTTTTTGTCATTAATGATAGAGAGAATAAACTTAAGAGTGGATATGCCAATGTTTGTGCACAGTTTTTAAGAAAGATATTAGGTATATTATCAGGTGATGTGTTATTCTTATTATCTAATTTTGTTAAATAATTAAATATATCGTAAACTGAAAAATCCATGTAATCTATTGTATTCAATAGTGGGGAAGTTTTGTTTGTAATTTGTGTGTTAGTCCCACTGTTTTTAAAGACTGAACTGAAATGAGATGCAAGTATGTTAACTTTCTGTTTATTTGTGAATATTATGTTATTGTGATCGTCTACCATTGTTGAGTATTTCAAATTTTTTGATTTAAGAAAAGCGCCAACATATGCGAATTTCTTTTTTGGGTGGGGTATTATTCTTTTTTCTTTATTTTTCCGAAATTTCAGCATCTGTTTCCTTATTAGATGAGTTACCTTCAAATAGTTTGGCCTATTCGTTTTATGAATGTTTCGTTTCCATAAACCCTCTTGAGTGTCTAATAATTTTGTAATATGAGTCGGTAATCCTTTTAGTTTATTTTCTATAGTTAAACAGGGTATAAAAAAGTTTATAGTTTCGTTAATTATGTCAGAAAAATTTTTATAGTTGATGTTTATATCATTGGAGTGCCCAAATATGGTTATCCAATCAATTGAAGCTAGGTATTGGTTAATTGTTTTATAGTCCGCTTTTTTAAAATCCTTGATATATTTTGTTGGTTCATAAGTTATTATTTGTTCTAGTTCAAAAATTATACTGTTATGATCCGATGTTGAGAAAGGGGGTGCTATTTCTAACTTGTGTATTAAGTTGTGTGTGTTAGTAAAAACAAGATCTAATATATTTTTTCCCCTAGTACCTTGAGAGACAAGTTGTATTAACTGTTGGCTATTAGTAAACTCACAAAATTCGTTTTCAATCTGAGTGGTGTGTGAAACGGGTAAGAATTGTTCCCATTCTATTCCAGGAAAATTAAAATCTCCCAACATTATACACGCATTTTCAGTGGTGCAGCAGTATAATATATTTTCCAAGAAATTAGAAAAATCTTGTGATTTTTGAAACCCAGGGGGCCTGTAAACAGCAATAACTCTTATTGTTTGGAGTTGCGGTAATAACAAGTCGAATGATATTAGGTTGAAACTATTTGTTTTTAAAATTTTGGACTGTTTGAACGGTAATGCCTTATGAATTAGAACGCAAACGCCGCCACCTTTTTTGGATGGTCTGTCTGATCTTAAAATCTCATAATCTAATGTATGTAGAATAAAACTATCACAAATTTCTTTATGAAGCCAGGATTCGCTAACGACTATGATTTGGTATATATGGGTGCTTAGCAATGACCGAAATTCATTCATTTTATTTAATAAACTACGAGCGTTAAAGCAAATGCATTTTATATTTTTGGATTTTTTAAAATTTTTCTTTTTATTTTTACAGTTCTTATTGATTATTTGTACGCAATTCGGAGTTTTTTGGGCTGTTTTATAAATTGGCTGACAAGTTAGTGGGAGGAGATTAAGTTTTTTGAGTGTGGATTTGTATTTATGGTTGTGCGAAAAATTGGGATCTCCTCCCGCAAAATTACCATACCTGCATATATAATGAAGTCGGCACCGGGATGCGCCTTACGTTTTTCATGACACTCTTTAATAAGAATAGATCGATTGGCAAGTTCTGTTTTGGAAAGGGACTCTCGCAAATGTAAATGTTTGTATTGATTTTTTAGAAATTTTTTGCCTGAGAGTGCCTCCCGAACAGCATATGAACAAGGAAATTTAATTTTAATTGGGCGAGGTTTATTTTGATTAATTTTCCCCATACGAAAAATCCCACTTGGCAAAGCACTTGAAACCTTACATTCATTTAAAACCTGTAAAACTCGTTGTTGATCATCCTTAGCCTTCTCCATTGATTCGGCTTGTTTACTTTCTGGTAATCCATTAAGCACGAGACAGTGGCGTCTTTCCTTCTCTTCCATTTCTTGCCTAAATTCACCATATTGAAGTTGGTTAGATTGTTGATTCCCAGTTTGTTGTTGTTGTTCCACTATCAATTCAGAAGTCAATGTTAATATCTGCTGCATTTGGGTTTTAGAATTTTTACCCACGGAGGTGTTGTGGTGTCGTTATTCATTTGTTGTAAAATTTCTTGAAAATTTAAATTATTGATTTGCTCAATTAGTCGTGAGCGTTTGTCGTTAACTGATGTGCCAGATAAATTTAATGGCGTATTTGCATTTCTTTTTGTGGATGTTGATTGATTATTTATTGACGACATTTCCATAAGTTATTACCCAGAGTAATGTAACTTAAATCTTAAACTTGGGTAATTAAACCTTTCTAAGTATTTCTTTCGAAATACATTTCCAAAATTTATCCCAAGTAGTATATT